ATAGTCTTGGAAATGTCTCGCCCAAGTGTCTCCATACCAGGCAGTGTTCCCCAGAGCCTGAGTGGGCGAAGACAGGGGCTGTCATGCAGAGTGAACCCAGCTGATCATATAATTGTTGAACATGTAGCTTTGAAGTCGGTGTTGCAATCGGGGAACAGCGTGCGCTTTTCACTTCGCGATCCGTATATGCACATGGGGAAAGTTACAACTGTTGCATTCATCTTCAGTAGAACTCTTCGCATTGGTCGCAGATCGAACATCAAGCTGTGGAGGGGTTGTTCAATGACGACGTAGTGACCCATCTTCCAGGCCACTTCCAGCCTCGGGCATCGGGATGAGTTTAGATCGATAAGGTTTGGGTGAATTTCAGCTAGAACGACACCAACAAGGTTCCGAAGACTTCGAATTCCGCTAAGTTGCACATAGGCCATCCGACGAACAAAAACGTTCGCACGATGGACTTTGAACGTTCGGTACCCAAAGCCAGCCGGCCTGTACTGCCGTCGACCCGTACTGCCTCTCGACCTCGGATACTACCACTATACAGTTCTCTAAGGGGTGGTGTGTTCTAGGCTTCGTTTTTATCACACATGCACCGGTAAGCTCGGCACATCCAAACCCAAGAGCTGCAAGGAGGGGCAAACCACAATAATGAAGCTGGACGAAGGTTGCGAATCTCAGTCAAGTAGAAGCTAGGGTGCAACGCACTCGGTTCACCAATTCGCAGTCGCAATGGTTGCATCCAAGCTGCGGCCACGAGGAGGGCGAGAAATCCTATCGTGCGTAAAATGTCGTGGTTGCGGGAATATCTGGCCTTAGATAGCGGACAGACTCGCTCATGCGACTAGTACGACAACTTACCGCAACGGAGCCATCGACATTAACTGCAGCTGTCACTCGTCCATAGGTTTGCCAGCGAAGTTGAAGCTAACCAAAGCATCAGTCAATGCCTCAGCTTTCTAGAAAGATTGCATGAAACGGATGGTACAACTCCTGTTTGTACATACAGAGAAGGAACGTGCTGACCTGCGCAGATTTCCACCTTAGTTCGATAACATACATGCACATATCATAGCTCGATGCCCGTCCAGGTCAATCATGTATATATACAAGGGGCGAAATCCAAGCGTTCAGGAGGCAGCTCTACTCCCATTGCCAACTGAAGCACCGGGCGAAGGGCCGACATCCGCACACATTGTGCAGACGCGATCAAGACACACCAGCATACAAGCTTCATCGTGAACGACTATAAGCCACAGCAGCGAGCCATTCACGGTAAAGGTATATGGCATGCAGCACATGATCAAACACCGAAGCAAGGTTGAGGCAGCATATAATGTTGCGAAGTTTTTTCCTCTAGAATTAGAATCAGAAGCGAAAGGTCTTTTGGAATCTGCAGACTGAAAAGCTGCACAATGTTGAACCGTGCAGTCTGCCCAGCCCAAAACCATTGCACACTCTAGGTGTGTCAATGCAAAGCTGCAGCTGCAAATGCACAATCAATGTGTGCGTGTCGTACTCCAAAACTTGTCTAGCTGTCGCTGCCGTCACCGTCTGAATCTTCCTCCGAACTGTCGCTGGCATCGCCGGTGTGCGTTGGATCCTTATCTGCAGCAAGAAAAGGCAGTGTTGGCAGGGAAACCCGCGCCCCAATTAGATTAACGGAATTCGCTCCATCATAGTCCCAAGCTCCGCAGGCTCCGTCCCAGCTTTCTTGTTATTCGCCCTCGTTGCCATGGTCTTCTTCTTAGTAGGTCGTTTAAGCTCCGGACAGTTGCACCGACTGGACATGCACGAATCACCCGAGCACTTTCCTCATGCTGCCTGGCTGCAGCTCGGGCCTTGTACATGATCTGCTTTTTCTCCCGCTTCAGCAAGTCAGCTGCCTCGCCTTCGACCACCTTGATCACCTCGTCCTCTTCACTGAATCCGTCTTTCTCTGCATTCTTACGGATTGGGATGACCGATCCGTCGGGGGACCAAAAGACGAAGTAGCCCTGCCCAGCGAGCTTACCTCAGATATTCAAAAATCAAAATCCAGATAGGCAGTGAACTAAATGCATGCAAGATACCCTTTGGCCGGATTTTGGCCTCTTTCATCCAGCCGTTTGAGTAAACGACGAGGCACTCCTTGTCGATCTTCTTCCTCAGATTTGCTGTCTGTTACTACATCACCCACAAATATGCGTCGACGAACTTCGAAACTCACATATGTTTCTGAACTAAGTCTCGTGTGCGCTTTCGGCTTTGCCTTTTTGCTCTCACGCTCAATCTTGATCTTTTCCAGCTGTTGCTGAGGAGTCAACACTGGTTTCTTGAGGCTTTCAAGTGCAGCTTTCTGAACACGGCTGATGGCCGCAGCCGGCAAACCACCGGCTGTGAAGGACGAAGGAACCGTGCCAGGCTCCTCCACGAAATGCCATCTCTTGTGTTGGATTCCCTCACACTCAACTTCAAAGGATCCCGCCTGGTCCCCGGAAGCCTTTCCCTCCAACCCTTGCTCGGCTTCATCATTGGAGCTTTCCTTGTCAGGTGCCTCTCCCCCGTTTTCAGCTTCATCTTGCGAGCCCACTGACATGGGGGCGGGTGAGTGCTCTGCTATGCGGTCGCGATCTAAAGCCCTCGCCGATGCAACCATGTCCTCCAAAAAAGACAGATCATCATCACTACTAGCCTCCTCCTCCGCTGGATCCTCACTGGGAGGGACAATCTCCTCACAAGCCTCAACCTCCTCAGCCTCGGAGAGACTTGCTTTCCCAATCTCCTCCCCAGCAGCCTCGGATGGACTTGCTTTGACAATCTTCTCAGAAGCCTCAGCAGGACTTGTTGTTGCGACAATCTCGGCAGGAGATGCCACATATCCAGACGGCGCTTCGAGCCGATGTGCCGCACTGTCCTGGGGTATGGATCCAACAAAACCCTTTCTGCAGTAGACGAAGTTTAACATATAACGTGGCGTACATTGCTGCACGAGTCTCTCTGCATGCGAGCAAGATTCTCCATGTTCACTGAGCCATGTGTTCCAGCTCAAAACATCTTCTAGCGGCTGTGCCCCAAAAACATACTTCTCGGAGTGGCACTCAGACAATCCTACCCTGTACTCTTCGAAGAAAACAAACAAACTATGCGATCGGATAGACTCGAGCACTCTCTGAACATCTTCTTCAGCAAGCTGGCCAAACTGCTTGCGGAAGGCTTCCTCAGAATCGTCGTCCTCGCCATCGTCCTCCCCGTCGCTTTGCGAATCATTAACATCGGATCCGGACTCGCTGGAGCTCCCATCGGACGGTTTGCCCGAGTCGTGGGATCCCGCCGCATGCGGCTCCTCGAAACATCTCGAACAATCTAGTGCATGCCATCATGCTCAACGTTGGGCACATTCAGGCCTCGGCAGCTCCTTCAACGAGTTGAGTCTCGGCATTGTCCACCGTGCTTCCAGATAGATCCGGGGCCTGATGCTCGATGCTCAATGCGGTTCATTTTTTGGCACGATTAAGACTTGATGTGCCGAATTGGCCTTGCGCTTGGCTGCCTTGCATCGGGCAACTCTCGCCGTAGCACCAATTCGCTTGAAGAGCTCGAACAACTTCCCGGCCTACAGGATTATATTCGGCGCTTCTCCCTAAGGGCAACTCATCCCCACCTCAGCTGCCGCCCACCGCGTCACATTCACCCTCTCATCACCTGAGGTGGCTGATACAAGACATGATTGTTGCTGCCTGCAAACGAAGCGCTTATTTCCATCGAGTGACACAAATGGTATTGCCTGGCCAACGCACGAATGATCTCTGCAATGTTCTTCTCATTCGGCACACGAGAAAATTCGCAGGCTTCATATGCTGCTCGAACCCACTGGTTGCCGGATCTGTCCAGTCGGCCCCCAGGGCAGAGGGCACACTTCTTCTGAACGAGCTTCCTTATTGTTTTCAACAGGATTTGTTTGCTAGCAACCGCTGGCCACGAAGTCAGCTAATGCTCACTCAATGTGCAGAAAAGTCTCACATCCATACGTTGATAAAGCTGAACGTAGAGGGACTGAAGAGTTGAATTCAGATGGGCCAAGCAGGAGGGAGCCGAATTGTTGTCATCAGGCAGCGACTCGTACGAGGTCGTAGGGACAGACTCCATCGATCGACACCCTTTGCGCTCCAACATACGTACTTGAAGCGATATCATATAGGATGCCTAAATGAATTGCCCAGTGCTCGAACGTTTTCTTGCAGAATGTCTATCACTCTTGCTCGATCTACGCAGCAGCAACACTCACAAACACAATCACAAGACGCCAACACTGTGCAATGCCAAATCTATCCAAGCCTGAATGCCAAAGCCATTAACCCGTAAAGTAACGCTTCCTAATACATTACTTTATCCTTCGGCGTTAGAAGAGCATTAATAGGAGGCTCCTGGAATAATAATAAAAATATCTGTAATGATAATAAAAAATAACTTTATGTTTACTATTGATGTCAATATTCTTACTATATATACATATATATATACACACACATGCACACATATGTATGTTTGTATAAGTGCAAGTACATGTATCAGTATATATGTGAATGTATACCCATATCTGCTTGTACATATATATATGTGTAATTTTATATCTCTCTCTCTCTCTATATATATATATATATATATATGCCGGTGGTTCCGCATGTGCAAATGCATATGTACATGTACTTGCACATGTAAATGTATGTTTATGTAAGATTATGTGTACCCGCATCTAAGAACACACAAACACATGTCACAACAAAGCTCGGACCACTATGCTTTGTGTCATCAGCTGTATACTCTGTAGGTACACACATACATGTACATATATATTTATATATGCATTATACGCACCTGTCTATCTTTCTAACCATGTAGCTAACAACCTACCTATCTGCCGATCTAGCTATCTAGCAAGCTACCGAGTTTCCAAAGTTATGAACCAATCACTCTATCTATCGTTCTGTCTACGTCTAATCTCATCTCCGCCGGGTGGCTGAAGGAAGGACCCGAGCGGCGGCTCGCTTTGATCCCGCCACCAGGGAACCTAGGCATGACTTCCGGGTTTGAGGTCCTCTCCATTGTCTAGGATACCCAGTAACCTAAGAATAAAAAGGCCTCTCTTTTTGGTATTGGGTAACTTTATAAGGAACCTAGGACTACAAAAAGGGAATAAGGGTACTACTGGGCATCCTAGTTGTAATTCCTTTATATGGTCAAACCAATTGTCCATTTAGCGTCAGGTAACCCTAAACCCTATTAAACCCTATAAACCCTAAGGTAGATCCTATAAGGTAACCCCAAACCCTATTACAATTATGGCCCCTTTTTGGGGTCCCTATAATAAAAGGCACCTATTTGTTAAGGGGTACCCAAAAAGGGACCCTAATTTTCACCACCACCCACATGGATTCAAGGGTTTCAGGATTATGGTTTAGGCGTTTACGGTTGAGGGGTTTAATGGTTTAGGGACTAGGCCTTGGGTTAAATCCGGGACCCTGAGCCGTAAATCGCTAATGCCGACATGACTGCACCCTGCAACCACCAGATCTCCGTGAACTAACTCAGAACTGTTGGCAAAGTCGTAGGTGCTTGTTGCAACCAGCTCAACTAATCTTATCATATCTCTAGCTTCCGGCTTCCCTGCATGAAAACAGGCTTCAACGATACCCCTTCAAACCGAACCCTAAGCTCTATATGCCAGCGGGGTGGAGATTGTTGAGGGATTCTGAAGTCCCCTACAGTGAACTGCTTTCTCAAACCATAACACAAACTTATGCTCAGCCTCATTTACGCCGAAACGAAGCCCAGAACCCAAACCCAAACCCTAATCAACGTAACCCTAAGCTCTAAACCCGCACCCCTAAACCCTAAAACCTAAACCCAAAGCCCTATAAATGCCTGTAAAGTCTAGACTCCAAACTGTAAACCCTAAATCCTAAACCCTAAACCCTGAACTCCCTCAACCCTATACCCTAAACCTTCAACCCTAAACTCCAAACTGTAAACTCTAAACTCCTAAACCCTAAACCATGAACTCCCGTCTACACCTGGACTATGCATATGCCTAAAACCCTAAACCCCAAACTCCCTAAACCACAACTCGGTCCCCAGGCCACAATCTGCGGTCCCGACCAGACATCGTCGCCGTGCCTTGGTAAATGCCAGTTTGGGGTTTAGAGGGGTTTTAGGGCCTTGGAGGTTTGAGGGCTTTTACGGTCTAGGGGTTTAGGGTGTAGGGGTATGGGATTCAAGGTTTAGGAGGTTTTAGGGCTTATGGGGTTTAGGGTCTAGGAGGTTTTTAAGGCTGACAGGGTTTAGTGTTTTCTGATGCTTCGGTTGGAGTCGCAGAGTTCATGTCGAATATAGGGGCTTTTACTATCAGAGCAGGGTTTTGTGTGATCATAAGGAACTCTATAATAGGGTTAGGGATTAGAGTTCAGGGGTCAGGGTTGGGGATTAGTAGGGTTAAACGGGACAGCGTTTCATAAGGCTCTGGGAGGATTAAGATCTAGGGTTAGGGAATTCAGGTTGTGAGGGTAGGGTTTGAGTTAGGCATCGGAATTATTCGATTCGGGTTCAAATGCATACAGGGCCTCACATACACAAAGAACAAAACAACTACGGTATTTGAGACCTAAACCCTAAACCCTAAACTGCTTAAAATATGACCTCGCAAGCTGGTAGGTCTAGCCCCGCCGTGTAAACTGCTGCCAACAGTCTTCATGAGACTTCAAAGCCGACGTAGCTTTGTCTTCCTTGAAGGGTCCAAGTATACAAACAGCTCCTACTTTGGGGCGGCCTCAAGTCTATAAAAAGTATCTACTTTGGGCTATTTGGAGTCAGGGCTCAACATCCTCGAAAACAAACCTCCACTGCAACTGTAGCAGTCTCTTCTTCATTCCTCTCCTGGTTCATTTGAGTTGGAAGTTTCCTGCATCCCCAAACCCTACAAAATAGTAGGTTTCCCTAAACCCTAAACCCCTTATAGTAAAAGCCAGAAAGTTGGAATATGATTATCCTAAACCCTTTATGGTAAATTATAGGGTATCCTACCCTGAAACCATATTCCAACTTTCTGGAGTTCCCTTTAATTAGAGGGTCTAACCCTTAAAAACGGTAGGGTTTTTGGATCCCCAGGTTCGTGGTAACCCTGAACCCTCAAACTCTAAAGCCCCAACAGTCAAGGCTTGGGTTTTGTGTTGCTTTTATGGCTCAGAACCCCAAACCCTATCTATCAATCTATCTATATGTATATATATGTATATATATATATATATATATATATATATATATATATACACCCTAAACTTACCTAGAGGGTCATACCCTACCCCTTTTCTAAATTAGGGTACCTAGTTTTATGGTTAGGATCTCCTATATAGAAAGGTAGGTATAAAAAGCTAGGTTCTTTAGGGTCCAGGTAGCCCGTGTGGTTGATGATAAATCCTGCATTACCTTAAGGACCCTAAACTATGGCAATTATGGTATATTCCTTAGTATGGGTGATGCAGGGTTTAGATCATTAACCGTATCATAACCTTTGTCGAACCAACCCCCAAACCCTAAACCCTTGAAGTCTCCGACTCCAGGGAACTTCCAAGGACAACCTTTTAGGGTTTTGGGGTCTCGGGTTCAGGGATCACGGGTTTAGGTTCTAGGGTTTAGGGTTGATTGGTTTAGGGATTTAAAGATCAAAGGAGGGTTATACAAAGTATAAGTCACTGGAGCCCTAGGGAAGTTTAAAGGAGTTTCGGTTCAGACCTGCTGAACTCATTTTTTCGGCGGATCCTTCACAGCAGTGCAGTGTCCAATATGGCGATCAAACCCATGGTCAGAAAACTCTACGGTCTGGGGCATGGGTTGAGGGAGTTTCGGGAGTTTAGGGTTCAGGGCTTGCGGAGTTTGATTGCTAGGGTTTAGGGTTGGCAAAAGCTCTGAGGGAGGCTGGCGGCTTCCTCACACGTGTGTACTGATCCTGAGCAGCGCGGATGCCGCCAAAGCCGGAACCCCCCCAGGTCACGACGGATCCATCGTCCAGAACAACAGCGAAAGTACTGCGAGAGGCTTGGATCTGATGCACATTCTTCAGCTGGTCCTGCACTGCACTACTGTCGCCACCATAGCCAGCATCACCCCAGGTAATGACAGAATTGTCGCCTAGAATAGCAGCAAACGCACTTCTGGAAGCTTGGATCTGCTTCACATTCTTCAGCTGATCCTGCACAGCACTACTGTCACCACCAGACTGCCCATCGCCCCAGGTTACGACGGATCCGTCGCCAAGGATGGCGGCAAAAGCGCCGTTCGAGGCTTGGATCTGCTGCACATTCTTGAGCTGATCCTGGACAGCATGGCCGTCGCCACCATAGGCGGCATTACCCCAGGTTACGACAGACCCATCAAGAAGAACCGAAGCAAAAGCACCGATAGATGCTTGGATCTGTTGCACATTATTCAGCTGATCCTGCACAGCACTGCTGCTGCCACCATACTCATCATGACCCCAGGTCACGATCGATCCATCGCCGAGAATAGCAGCAAAAGCGTGACGCGTAGCTTGGATCTGCTGCACATCCAGCAGCAGATCCCGCACTGCACTACTGTCACCGCCGCTAGAACCACCCCAGGTCACGACGGATCCGTCACTTAGAATGGCAGCAAAAGCGCCGGCAGTGGCTTGGATCTCGCGCACATCCTTCAGCCGATCCTGCACAGCTCCGCTGTGACCACCAAGGAAATAATTACCCCAGGTCCTGACAGATCCATCACCCAGTATGGCAGCGAAAGCTCCATCACTGGCTTGGATGTGCTGCACATTGTGCAGCTGATCCTGCTCAGCACTGCAATTACCGCCACAAGCAGCATCACCCCAGGTCACGACGGATCCGTCGTCCAGAATGGCAGCGAAAGCACTGCCCGAGGCTTGAATCTGATACACATTCTTCAGCTGATCCTGCACTGGACTACTGTCACCACCATAGCCAGCCTCACCCCAGGTCACGACAGAATTGTCGCATAGAATAGCAGCAAACGCCCTTCTAGAAGCTTGGATGTGCTTCGCGTTCCTTGGCAGATCGTGCACAGCGCTACTGTTACCGCCTTTGTCAGCACTACCCCAGGTCACAACGGATCCATCTCCAAGGATGGCAGCAAAAGAGCGCTCAGAGGCCTGGATCTGAACCGGGCTTGTGTGCAAGGTCAATGTGTCACCGTTCTGCACCCCACAATTCTTGAGGAGTTGACATGCATCCAGAAATCTGCCAGCTGCATCCACAAGCCGCCCTTTTCCTGCTGCTCCCAGGGCCGTCCGCGCCCGAAGCATCAAGGTATACACGTCCTCATCCTCATGTAGGCCTGCTCTTACAGTAGCTGTCTCGCCACTAAGCAGTCCAACTGACAGAGTAAGAGCATCTTGCACGCCGGCATGGGAATTCTGCATTACCGAGCAGATACAAGGTTCTGGGAAATCTGTTCTGGTCGAAAGGATGCCTTCCAAAACCCTAAACCCTATAAGCCCTAAACCCTAAGCAGACTTTTCGGAGGTTGCAAAAATTCTCCCGGCTCCACCGATCTCTCCAAACTCCAAGTACTGTATCCAAGCTCTTCGAGTCATGCACCGCCCAAGGACCCGGAGAGCCCAATAACGCTTAATTAAGAATTATACCTTAAATGATAAGGGGCTTGATATTATGATGTAAGCTATGTTCCTCAATTAGGGAGTATTGGGCTCTCTGGGAAACCCATGTGCAAAGCCAGCCAAAGCAAGATCCGGGGCTAAACCTCCCTAGTCCCTTTCCCGCAATCTACCGCACTGCTTTCAGGCATCTGTTGTTCTTTAATGTTCTGTATATGTTGTAAAGTAATCCCAGAGGAAAAGAATATCCTTATTATGGTATTGCGGGCCTAATTCCAAAATAGCAACAGTATACATGGACCCTGTATTACCCTATACCCCTAAACCCTGAACCCCTAAGCCCCTAAACCCTAAACCCCAACACCCCTAAACCCGCTTGGGATGCTCGCACCCACAATCACAACAGTTTGGGCTTGGTGTCGCAGTGCTTGAGCCGGCGTCGCCCAATGTCACCAACCAACATGGGAGTTTCCGATTATAGGGGTACCTTATTTTGGGTCCTTATAATCTGAATCCTACTATTTAGGGTACTATATTAGGGTTTTGGGGGTCCTTATAATAAGGATCCTACTACTTAGGGTACTATATTAGGGTTTTGGGGTCCTTATAATCTGAATCCTACAATTTTAGGGGTACTTTATGAGGATCCCCTGTTTTGGAGACTCCCAGATCTCCAAAACACATCACAACATAACGGTAGTAACGGTAACAGCAATTAATTATTAAAAATGATAATCCTACTCCTAGTGATCAGAATAGTAATTATAATGGTACTAATGACAATAATAGTAACAACAGTCGTAAACTTCATCGTATGGTAATAAGAACAGTTAGTAATACTCCTAACAACTACAAACCATAAACCCTCTACACCGCTAAACCCCAAACCCTACTGACAAACAATGAAACCAACGACTCTGAGCCCTGCACTGCTCAGGCTTAGTTTTCAGTGGGGAACTCTGACTAGTAAACCTCCTCAAATAATGGCATCCCGCCGCGGTCCTGATTCTTAATCCCGGAGAAAGGGAGTACATTCATCATAGTTGAACAATGAAGAAGGGGAGGTTCTTATCCAGGAGTGAACATGAAACTGGCAGCAATCCCATAAAACCCTTTGGCAGCCCAGAAAACCTTCTCATAAACGGTTTAGGGTTTAGGGTGGGATTTAGGGTTTAGGGCCTGATCAAATCTGCATAGCGCGTGCAAGGGTCTACCTGTAAAAAACACAAGGGTTTAGGGTTTAGGGTTTAGGGGTTTAGGATTTAGGGTTTAGAGGTTTAGGGTGTAGGGTTTCAATAGCCCGATAAGCAGTCCGCTACATAAAGTTGCACTACGGCTTCACTCGCCCTAAACCTACCAATAGGCTCCATAGTAGTTCCTTGTTGGGATTACCTTATAGGGTTCTAATATGAGCCCCAAAAAGGAACTACTATGGAGCCTATGGGTAAATCACCAACCCTCAAGCTCCAAACTCTCGTAATAGGACTACTTTACGACCAATCTCTATAGTAATTGGGTACATGGACCCTTAGGGATAAGTATGCTTCAAACTTGTCCGTAATTTTGAGGAGAACTAGAGGCTAAGCTTTACGGATATATAGGGACTGGAATGCCAAGGAAGTTAAACGTTAACCACGCTACCACGAAGGTTATAATGTAGGAACCTGATGAAAAAACCTTAGGCCTTTATTGGGGTTCCTTCATAAAACCTACTATTTTGGGGTTATAGGCCCAGGGTTTCTTAGTCAGGTTCCTACATTGCTCCTAGACTATTTTGGTGGTTTTTCTGAATCCTACTATTTTGGGGTTATAGGCCTGGGGTTCCTTAATCAGGTTCCTACATTAATATAAGTTATAGTACCCTTATAGAGCCCTTATAGTAACCCTTATAGACCCCTTTAAAGGAGCCCTAAAACAGACCCAGGCTTCCTTAGTCAGGTTCCTACATTAGTGAGTTAGATCGCCGGCTTCCAAGGCCCAAGCTTGCACCTCAGCATCCGCACGGAGCATTCCGAGGCCTGATTCTCTGTAGAGTGTCACAGGGTTTCATGAATGTTTGATAATTGTAGGTGTTTAAAGTTTAAGGGTTTTGGGCTGAATCTTTTGGTTTAGGGCTCCGCCGGCACCCTAAATACCCACTATTAAGGGCCATAAGTGCTCCATTAAAGGGCCTTTCGGGTGGTCCTGGTAGGGCCCCAGAGGTTAGAGTTTACGGATTTCGGCCTCGGGGTTCGGGAGTACGGCTGCCCGAGACCTTATGCTTTGAGGGGGTTAAGTGCCGAATCACCCAGAGGGTCCACCATTATGGTATAAGGCCCCAAAAGACCATCATCATAATTTTTTTGGGGGGTTAATTCCAAGATGGTAGTACACATGGACCCTCTTGGTCATAACCCTAAGGGTCCATGTACCCGAATAGTATATACATCGGGCCCAATGTACCTATATAGGGACTACTTTAAGGCCAAAGTATATACTATTTGAGTGCATGGACCCTCTTGGTCACAAGGCATGGCTTAGAAGGCCCCCCACCCTGTAATTGTGATTATAAGGATTATATTAGGGTTCTATTGTATTCCTATTATACCACTATTACAGGGTGGGGGGGCCTTCTAAGGCATGGTCTTTCTTTTAGGTGTGTAGTGAGGCATTGGTCTTCTCTAGGGCTTCAGGGTTTAGGGGTCTGGGGTTGCAGGTTCAGGGGTTCAGGGGTTTAGGGTTCAGGGCTATTGGGGATTAGGATTTCGGGTCTTGAGGCAGGGTCGGGAGTTTGAGCGAGCTCAAAACAGAAACCCTCTAGCATCGGAAGCCATGTCAGAAAACCCCAAATCCGATCTTCTTTAATTAAAACTGCAGGGGTCCTTACAATGATGTTAGGGGTCGGGGGGCTAAACTGTGCGATTTGAGTGTGTAGGCTTGCGGGGATTCGGGCTAAAGCCCAGGAACTAGCTTGTTCAGCTCTGAACCCCAGCTTACTTTCACAACCCAACCACAACAGTGGCACTGAGAGGCAGTTCGTCTTCGGGTATCGGGACGGCTAGTATAAAGGCCTTCATACTTCGAGCAAGGTTTCTATAAGGGACCTTTGAGAGTTCCTGTAAGGACTTATACAAGCGTGAATCTGCGTATGTAGTAGTATCGGGTCTTAACAAGCAGACTAGAGTTTGGAACCCTATAACTTGGTTACTGCCCCCATACACTAACAGTCTGCAATAGGGCTACTATTAAGGTCCTACTATAGCTCTATTCTGCAAATTATCCAACTGTTACTGAGTGGGGGCAGTACCCAACCTATAACAGTATGACTGTGCAAGGACTGCTTGATATTTTGACACCTGTATCAACGAAGTCTGAGCATCAGTGCTGTAGGGCATGAGGGCTTAAAATGGGTTCGAGGTGCGTAACTGATGCAGTGAAAACTCGGGATTTAGGCTTTGGGTTTTTGGGTCTACGGTTTTACCCGGTAATACGAGCTTAGGGAGTTCGGGGTTTGGGTTTCATGGCTTGCAGTTTTGAATGTCGATAGCAATAAAGGTTTCACGGTGCAGAATTGTTTAGAGAGCTACAAATCAATGTTCAAACAGACTTGAAATGCTCTCATGCCTTACTACTACGCAGCTTGTTCCGGCGCTGGTACTGTTCGGGTGCTCAGCTTTTCCGATGTAAATGGCGGGCTGAACATCTGACCAGAAACCGTAAACCATAAACATCCGATGTCAACACAATGATCTGCGCTGGAGCATGCCCTGCAGCATTTGGTTCGCTGTTTAGTGTTGTATGCGCGGTGTAGATTTAGTGTTCAGAGGGATCACAAGCTGCAAAACTCGCTGGACTCGAACCTCCTTCGACACCTTGAAATGTTCGGGCCCTGTGTCCTGTGTCAGCCGAGCCAAGAGTTTGCTCAGGGATGCACCATAAAAGATGTACGTGTGAATATAAGCATGCATATGCATACAAACAAACATGCATACATACATACTTACATACCTACAGTATACCTGCTTACATACGTGCATACATACATAGTCAACATTATTAACATACATAACATGCAAAACTTTCATGACACACAAAACATATACATAACATTACTAACATACCTACCATACATGACATCCATACCTGCATGCCTACCTACCTACCTACCTACGTGCATACATACATACAGGTACATGGACCTTTTAGGTTTGGACCTGTCGTGGATAACCCCATGAGTCAGACATCTGAGCTCGGTGCGGAGTCGTAGCGCACCTCCTGCATCTATCAAGACATCACCTCCTCCTAGCCCTAAGGGTCCATGTACGCAAATGTTATATACATTGGCCTTGAAGCAATCCCCGTTTAGGTATTTTGGGGCCAATGTATATGCTTTTTGAGTACATGGAAGTTCAGGGCATCTCTCTGTATTTGGTGATCTGCTACTTAGGTAGCCGGAGCATCAGGGACTCGCTACTTTTCTCTTCTGCGACGTCGCACAGCAACAGATCCTCTTGAACATTCTTGGGTGGGAGTTACCGGGCTGATGGTGGCGGCGGTGACCGCTATGCTTGTGCTTCTCTTGGAATATGGTGACATGCAGCAGGAGGTAAGGACCTCCAAAACCAATAGTGATTGAATGAGTTTCCTTCTTGCATGCCCTCGCCCCTATTTGACATAAACTCGTCGGCCAGGACGCGGGTACGGTACAAGTCCATTCTATTGCCAATACATATTGACCCTGCAGTATCAATACAGGAAGCCCTGTAATCTCTAAGTGTGTAATTAGGCACGAGGACGCTTGGGAAAGCTCAACAATCTCAGGGTCCACAGACAACTCAACTGTACTGGATTGATGGACCCGACCTATAGTCTCCATTGTAGTTCCTTTTTGGGGTTAATTACCTTTTAGGATCCTTAGTATAAAACTGGCTAAACCAAAAAAAAGAACTACAATGGAGACTATAGGGACAGCCTGAATCCCCATGCGTCTTGTTCCTTTGATCCCCAATCTGGGTGTTTCTGGCCATCCGAAGTTTTGTGACAGACGTATTGAACACTGAACATCCAAACCAGCGCAGGGGTCTCTAGCATGTGCAGGAGCGGTTCCCGGTACAGCTACAGCAGAATATAGGAAACTCCAGAAAGTTGGAATATGGTTTCATGGTAGGATACCCTATAATTTACCATAGAAGGGTTAGGATAATCATATTCCAACTTTCTGGCTTCTACCTTATGAGTGCAGAAGACCTTCAAACATGCGGCTCTGTTGCAGACAGTATAGATTGGATTCGGATATTTGGGGTCTTAGATAAGGGCTTATCGGTTGAAGCATTTCTGAAATGAGGGGGGAACGCTAGCAGTGACAGACTCTTGATGAGGAGCTGGGAAGCAGTTGTCAGGCTGACTTGCTTGCTCAACTACCTCCGACAAAACCTTGGGTTCGACCATTTGAGCACCATTGTAAACTCGCTATGCGCAACTTCCCTATAACGCTACACTCTATAACCCCTAAACCCCAAAACGGCCCTAAACCCAAAACATCTTAATATAAGGGCCGAAATAAACACTATACTGTTTTGGGGGGTTCCTCATTGTAAGTATAGTATACTGGACCCCAAAACCCTATTCTACTTATTAAGCGCCCTGCATGACGTCTCAAGCGGCCTCCACAGCCAAGGAAAATCCTTCTACGGCCGTTGGCTCCCAGTAGGGCGCCAAGGCAAATCCATCCTCTCTTTCGTAAACGTTTGTAGCTCGTGGGGGTATGCATTCAGGGTTCAGGATCTATATGGGAGTTTCCAAAAATTAGGAGACCCTAACATAGCATAGGGACCCCCCCCAAATAAGGTACCCCTAATTTTCGGAAACTCCCAGAGGGCTTTTGGAGGTTTGGGGTCTATGCGATTTAGGGTTAGGTCGTTCGCCGGTTTCGGGCAGGGGCCTTTGAGGGACGGTTGATGATATAAATCCTGCATTACCCATAATAAGAAATATACCATAATTCCCATAGTTTAGGGTCCTTAACTAGCCAGTGGTTTTGGGGGGTCCCTTGGCTCTTTAGCTCCGCTCCTTACTTAATAGGGAGTATCATCATCCCTGACTCCTTAGCCCTCCGATATCAACAGTAAGTTAAGGTAATGCAGGATTTATATCATCAATAGGAGGACTCGAAACCTGCGGCTCGGCTCGGAGCTTTAGCTTCATAGGGACCCTTAGAGGGGTAGGGGGGAGGGGGAATAGGCCTTATTAGGTCCTCCCCTTAAGGGGGGTAGGGGGGAGGGGAGTAGGGGACGGTACTTAAATAGGCCTTATTAGGTCCTCCTTATGGGCATTGAAGCCGCCTCCCCCCCCTCCCCCTACCCATTTCAAGCGTCCCTATGATTTGAAGTAAACAGGCCATAACTCATTGTTTGCACACGGCTTTGTGATCAAAGCATAGTTTTGTCCTGGAGCCTCTGAAAATGCAGAATGGCAAATATCATGATTTATTCCGACTTGAATGCATGACTGACCCGACTCCCGTATTTTGTAGAACTTTTGTAGAACTCTTCAAGGAACCCTTAAAGGAACCCTGAACCCTACCAAAGTATGGCAACTTACGGAAACCTGAGGAGCCGTCTTCGCGGCCCTACTTAAGCCGAAAGCCATTCGGCGTGGAGTCGAAAAGAAAACCTCAGAAGAGCCATATCCTTTACCCAGACCTTATAATACCGTTGATGATACAACTCCTGCATTACCCTGAGGGGCTAAACTGTGGGAAATATGGTAGTTTCCCTATTATGGGTAATGCAGGGTTAATATCCTCAACCGTATCACTCAATAAGGAATATACCTTAAATTATTGTAGTTAGAGTATATTCGGTCTGGGTTGTCGAAGATCTCGTCATACCCCGCCCCCCTCTAGAACTGACGCCCAAGCACTAAAACACATGTGTACTGGGGAGCCGTTTGCATGTGACAATGACGAGCTTGTTGTGCGTAGTGCGACTTCGCTGATGACTGCGACTTTGTATTTAGCTCAATAGAGCTACTCGAACCTCCTTATTGTGAATACATATGAAGAAGGTAGCGAAATCTTCAACCCTGACCCAGCTTCAACGGAAACAACCTTGTCTGAAACAAACAGCAACCCAAGTCGTAGCTGACCCACAAAGGGAATGTGCTCTGACCTGAGCTGCGTCCGAAGTGACATGGCCTCGCTGCTCGGCTGTGCAGCAAGGTACAGCCGGCACGATGTGTGCAGCTTTAGGGCTTCAAGCTTAGGGTATAGGGTTTAGGGTATAGTAAACCGAGAACCTAAACCCTAAAGAGGGTTCGAGGTTTAGGTTACAGCTTTAAAAAAGAATTACCTAAACCCTTTCAGGAGGTAGAGGTGGTTTGATAAGCACAAATAGCAAGACGCGCCCCGCCTTTACGACTTGTGGGCCCTCTGGCAACAATCACGAGCTAGGACCTAAAATGAAAAGTGGCATTCATAATTGGAATCAGGTTTGGGGACAGTTTTTGTATCATAAGGAACGGCCTCTTTTCGGCGGAACCGGGTCTAGGGCGGAAGATAGGGGACCCAAATGACTGCGACCGTGTGTAGTGTTTGTGGTTTGAGGATTCAGGGTTTAGTGACTCGAACAAGGGTCCCTAATGGGGTTCGACAAGGGTTATTAGGGTTACATAGCGGTTTAGATCGTTAAAACGGGGTATGTGATAGCAGAGCTATAATAGCAAGGGGCCCTGACGAATGCTGATACCTTCTGCGCACTGGAACTCGAGTAGTGGGCACATGCTTCTCGAGATGACTAAATCAAGGTGGTGACTGACAACACCAGAACCAGTGTTTAGGGTTTAGGCACTGGCCAGAACTCGAACAAGAAATAATCCAGAAACCCATAGGCCTCCCTGCGGCACTCTCGGGACAAGCGATGCAACTACGACGAAGGGTTTAGGGTTTAGGGTTTAGGGTTTAGGGTTTAGGGTCAATAAGAAATTTTAGCCAGCTTCTGGCTCAGGACTTGGGGATTACGGGCTCCTCAGAACCTGAAAGGTGAACACCATACTGGATCGGAAGATTGGGGTGTTGCCACGAGCACTGCACCTACAACCCATAATTTACAAGGGTTGAAGTTCCTAAGCCTATACGCTGAACCCTAAAACCCCAGAGCCCTAAACCCTAAACCCTAAAACCCTGAAGTCCTGAACCCTAAACCCATAAGGGTTTAGGGCTCAAGACCTCAGGATCGTTTGCTTAAGGGTATCCCCGATCTCTTGATCGTGTCTCTGAGCACCCTGCCGTTCAGCATGACCTTGGCTCCAAGAGGGTTTAGGGGTTTAGGGGTTTGGGGTTTCCGGGTTTGGGTTAAGAGTTAAGGGTTTATGGGTTCAGGGTTTGGGGCTTTAGGGTAATATAGGGTCCATGCATACTCCTTTTTCTGGAATTACGACCCCAAAACCATCATAATATCGATGGTCTTTTGGGATCTAAGTCCATACTGGTAGCATACATCCCTCGAGGGCGGTAGCTCTCGACTGACCGCAACCATAAAAAGCTTGACCTCGGGGATGGAGCCCTTCATTCCCATCATTGTCGTTATTTGTTTTGAACGGCTGGTACCTATAGTCTCCACTGCAGTTCCTTTTTGGGGTTATCGAATCCTATATATGTACTTGGCTAAACCAACAAAAGGAACCACAATGGAGGGTATGGGTGGAACCCTAAACCCTAGACCCTTGTTTTAGATTTCTGGGCTAGAGGGCTGGCAGCTTCTCGCAGTTTGAAACAAGGCCTTGCGGTTTCAGAGCTTTGGGACGGATTAATTAATGCAGTATTCAGTTTGCTTCGAGTATCGAACAAGTAGATCAAGGCTTTGGGCGTATTATCGACTAACTATATAGGGATACCATGTCTCCTTTTTCCGACCCCAACCCTCCTATGCTTACAACCCTAAACGTCAACCCCACATCCTAGATCCTAAACACAAAACCCTAAACCGTAAGCTCAGATCCTGAACCTCAACTCCTAAAACCCTAAACACCCTGTGTCAGTAGGAGGCTGAAATCGAGCCTCCAGATGAAGCTGTAAGGGTTGCGACCGAAGAGTATCGGCTTGCAGGTTTTGAGGGTCAAGGGTTTATAGAGTTTAGTTAGTGGCCCTAAACATGTGTAGTTCAGGGTTTCTGTTTCAAACGTATCTGTCGGCGGTTGAAGAATAGAAAGTGCGGCTCCATTGCTTAACCTCGGTACCATAAACCATCATCCGTAAATCTGAAAATCTTCGCCCTGATCCCAAGTCATCGACCACAACTCACAAGTGCACCAGGTTTTCACAGCTGCAAACGAAAACAAAGGTAAACCATCATAAGGAGCCTTGGTCATAGTGAGGTTTGGGAGGCTACCGGAAAACTCTTAACTCACCCTACCGGAAACTGAGAGTACATCTACAAATCCGAACGTGCCGTGTTTCCTAACCCTCCGAGTTTACGGGCTGGGGCTGGGGTTTGGGGTGTAGAGTTTGGGGTACCATGTGGTGTCGAGATTTTAGGGTTTAGGGTTTCCCGAACCTGACCAGCCTGAACCCTGCATTGAACACAACAAGCCAACCCACCCAAACCCTGAACGAACCCTACACCCTCCACCTTTAACCCTCAAGGTAAAAACTACAAAGTTTAAGCGTAGGATCCCTGTCTCCAAGCTGCTGACTCGGAGGATAATGTAGGAACCTTATTAAGAAAACTTGGGTCCTTATTCGGGAAATGGATCCTAACATATTCGCGTTAAAGGGCCAGGGTTTCTTAATCAGGTTCCTACATTACCGCGAAGAGGACGTCCCACTCCGAACCGAAACCCCTGAGGACACCACGATAACCGTTGGCCGCAGGTGCAGCACCATGCGCCAGAAATGCCCCACCGTTGCAGGCAGCGGATGCTGCGTCCTGTGGTAGGGTTTAAGGTTCAGGGTTCTTGAAGCTGGTGTTTTCCGTAAAAGGTTTCCACGAGGGTAACCTGGATTCTACATAGGTGGTATAAGACTATATTTAGAGCTCCTCAAGTAACCCCTTTAACCCCGAAGTTGGAAACTGGATTGAGAACAACTAGTGCCTATACATGACTCCTAAGGATTGAGGCTATTGGGTTTCCAATTTTTGGGCTTCCACCGTACTACTCCCTTAACACAAGCAGAGGGTAAAAGCATACTGCAGGAGCCCATGGGGATCTCTGGCAATAGGATGGCGACAGGAGGACAGTTTAGGTCTTTAAGGGGTTTAGGGTTGGGGTTCAGGGTTCAGGGGTTTAAGGTTGCAGGGTGTGCCAAGCCTGTCGCGCGGCCCCGCCCGACCCACCCGAGGTTCGGTGTGTATTCAATTCCATTTTTTGTTAGAGTGTCCTTATCATACAACGATACAAAGCACATTCACAAGCAATACAATCCAGATGCCGAGATTCGGATCGGCTTTACATCGCGCGGAAGTTAAGTTGTACCCGAAGGATGCAACTTAACTTGCGCGCAAATGTTTCTTAGCGAATATTTAGGAATTTGTGCATACAGAAGGAATGAGAAGGATATCTGGAACCACCGTCACAAAAGCCATCCGACCAGCCTTCGTGGAAAATCCTTGGGAATTCCTTTGTGCGATGTCGTAGATTTCGCTCGCAGCCTCTACTCACGCACACGCATCGACGTCTTGCTGATATTGTTCAAGCAGGTTCGTTGGGCATGCAAGCACAAAACATCGGCATCATCGACAACAATAACACGCGGCATACGGGAAAACCCATATGGGGTAGGCCGGGCGTGCCGCCTTCGGGCGGGACGCGCCAGGACCTGCAGCAGACACACAGCCTCCACTCAGGGAAGATAGCTGCAGCCGAACGCGGAGCCATCGAGGCAGCTCCGGCAACAACTTCAATTTTAGTGGTTGGAATTTGGGTTTCAACCTTGACATTTCAAGCTTTCGGCAGGTGGCACCGGCTGCCGTCGATGGTCTCGAAGGGTTGAACGTCGAAAGTTCTCGGTTTTGGCCTGGGGCTCCTGCTGCCAGCAGAGGTCTGGAAGCTCTAGACTTCGAGATATCACCGGTGCCGGCAATGGTTTCGATGATTTAAAGGTCGAGGTATCAAACTTTCGGCTCGGGGCTCTCGCTGCCTGTAGTAGTCTGGAAGGTTTAAGCGTCGATGCCTTTCGGCCTGGGCCACCCATCCGCTGCCGGTAGTGGTCTGGAGGTTATAAACGATGAAGTAGCAAGCTTTCGGCTTGGGGCTCCCGCTGCCGGAAGTGGTCTGGAGGATCTAATTAAGCGTGGAAGTAGCAAGCTCTCGGCCTGCGCCACTCGCTGCCAGCAGCGTTCTCGAAGCTTTACACGTCGTGGGGTTTCCGGCTCTGGGGGGCCGATTAACATGTAGGACTTTGGTTTTTGGAGGATTTTGTGCGTTGGATTTAGGGTTTTGGGTTTTGGATTTGTGATTTTGGGTTTTGGATTTTGTTGCTTGGCTTTTGGGTCGCAAATGGCTTGTTGTTGAATTTTGGCCCAAGGCTCCCGCTTCCGGCCACTGCGAGCCGTTGACATCATGGAAACCCCACAAAACCATATAATTTGTCGATTTTGCACTGCCAGCTCCTTTGCCGAAGGCCATTTCAAAGGCCTCCTGGTTTTGCTGGATTTCCGGGTGCTGGGGGCCGCTGAGCATTTAGGATTTTGGGTTTAGGATCTAGGATTTTTGGTTTAGGATCTAGGATTTTGGGTCTAGCATTCAGGCTTTTGGGCTTTGGATTTTGGATTGGGGTTTTGGATTTTGGGTTTGGGATTTTTCCGGCCGCGGCGGGCCGCAGAAATGGAGGGAAGGAACCCCACCAAAGCGCATTGTCGATTTTGCAATGTCCGCTGCTTTTCCGGATGCCATTTCCAAGGCCCCATAGATTTGCTGGATTTCCGGCTGCTGGGGACCGCTTAGGATTTAGGATTGTTGATTTTGGGCTTTGGATATGGGGTTTTGGATTTGGGGTTTTGGGTTTTGGATTTTGATTTTTGGATTTGTGGTTTTAGTTTTTGGGTTTGGGTTTTAGATTTGATGTTTCGGATTTTGGGTTGGGGATTTTGGGGTTTGGGTTTTACATTTTATGTTATGGATTTTGGGTTTGGGTTTTGGATTTATGTTTTGGATTTTGGAACCTAAAGGGCTTGGGCCTGAAGTTTGCAGGTTATGACATTGAAAGGAGTTGTCAGTGGGTGATTGCCGAGGATGAGAGCTGCAGAGGCTTCACCGTCTGCAGTGACGTGCCTAAGCGGCTCTCTGATCGGGCCGCTTCGCGACTAGGTCGCGCTCGCGGCCTAGACTTTTAGGGTTCAAGGTTTGCGGGGTTTAGGGTTTAGGGGTTTAGGGGTTCAGGGTTTACGGTTTAGGGTTTTAGGGTTTAGGGTTTAAGGTTTTAGCGTTTAGGGGAATGCAAGTGCTAGTTCGGCACTTGAACCGGGCCTGGATCCAAGAACTTTGTTGATAAACACGATGGAATTTTCAAGGCTGCGAGCGAGCACGAGTGTTACCTGCTTCTCGTCTGGACTTCCACGCCACGTTTGTTGGACGTGCTTATGCAGATCGTGTTCCCGGCTGACAACACAACCTGGACCAAAATGGGCCCTGAGACAGAATAATAACTTCTACTGCTTCAATTCATCCTGCACGGATCTGCTGCAAACATTTTGCATTTAGACACGCTTCAGGTCATCCCACGCGGAACTGCTGTCACCACCTCCAAGAGCGTGACCCCAGGCGACCAAAGAGCCGTCACCGAGAACAGCAACGAATGCGTACTCGTTGCTTTGAATCTGCTGCACATTCTTCAGCTTATCCTGAACAGCGCTGCTGTCACCACCATAGCAATCGTCACCCCAAGTCACCACGGATCCGTCCACAAGAAGGGCTGCAAAAGCGCCGCCACTGGCTTGGATCTGCTGCACATTCTTCAGCTGATCCTGCACAGCACTGCTGTCACCACCGTCGCCAGCATGACCCCAGGTGACGACCGATCTGTCGCTAAGAATGGCAGCAAAAGCACGCCTAGTGGCTTGAATCTTCTGCACATTGTTCAGCTTATCCTGAACAGCACTGCTGTTGCCACCATTCAAAATGTCACCCCAGGTCACGACGCTTCCACCATCAAGAATTGCAGCAAAAGCGTTGCCACATGCCTGGATGTGATGCACATTCTTCAGCTGTTCCTGAACTGCACGACTGTCACCAGCAAGGTCAGCATCACCCCAGGTCACGACACATCCGTCGACAAGAATAGCCGCAAAAGCAAAGTCAGTGGCTTGAATCTGCTGCACATTCTTCAGCTGATCCTGAACAGCACTGCTGTCTCCGCCACAGTCGGCATGCCCCCAGCTTACCACAGATCCGTCGACAAGAATGGCCGCAAAAGCACCCCGAGTGGCTTGAATCTGCTGCACACTGTTCAGCTTATCCTGAACAGCACTGCTGTTGCCACCATAGAAAACGTCACCCCAGGTCACGACTCTTCCATTGGCAAGAAGGGCAGCAAAAGCAGTGTCACAGGCTTGGATCTGTTGCACATTCTTCAGCTGATTCTGCACAGCACTGCTGTCACCACCGTCGTCAGCATCACCCCAGGTGACGACAGATCCGTCGCTAAGAATGGCAGCAAAGGCAGTCTCACAAGCTTGGATCTGCTGCACATTCTTGAGCTGATCCTGCACAGCGCTACTGTCACCGCCTTGAAAAGCATCACCCCAGGTGACGACCGATCTGTCCCCAAGAATGGCAGCAAACGCGTACTGAGTGGCTTGGATCTGCTGCACATTCTTCAGCTGGTCCTGCACAGCACTAGTGTCACCGGTGGGAGTATTGCCCCATGTCACCACGGATCCGTCGCCAAGAATGGCAGCAAAAGACGCACCAGATAAGGTGCTATAGCCTGTTCGACAGCTACGAACCTGAACTCCCTTGACGTGCAAGGTCAGTGAATCACCGTTATGCAACCTGACACTCTTGATCGGAGCACCTTCATCCAAAATGTTTCCAGATGAGCCCACCAGCAGCCCTCTGCCGACTCCGAGCGCTGTCTGCGCCCGACGTTTCAGTGCTCCCACTTCTTCACCGAGGTCAGCTTTCACAGTAGCTGTCTTTCCGCTCAGCAGCCCAACTGCCACAGCAATCGACATGCTGCCGCGAGGGATTTCTAGCCCGCCTAAACTTCAACTAGAAGTCAGCTTTGTTTGGCTCACCTGCATAAAGACTGCCATCCCATATCATGTGAACTCGGTTGTGCCCTGTCCGGAACAACAAACTGCGAAACTCCCAACCTCCAAATCAAACACCTCGGTGCATTCTGTTCGAACCCAACGACGCCCATGCATGAAGTGCACGATCGGTGAAAACAAACTGCACTTCTATGAAAGTGGGCCAACTCTGTTTACCACTGCAATGTGCAATGCACGGACTGTAACTGCAATACACCACGGTGTGGCTCACATATCGTTCGTTCAACTCAGATATTTCTTACCTGAAACCCGCAAAACCCCAAAGGGAACCTTGTAACGGCAACACCAGGCGCAAACATTGTTAACAACAGCTACACTCAAAAGTTAAACCCCCAGATGCTTTTCCCCAAACGCAAAGTCGAGGTTTCAGATTTGGACGCAGCCTTGTGTCTGCAAATATTGGGGTCTGAGTAGTTAGCAGCAGTAATCATTCTGGTCCCTCCTTGGTTATTTAGATTGTTTTTGAACTTGTGCTCGTAAATACTGTGCCCTGCAACTGTATGCCAAATACTGAGAACCCTAAAGCAATCCTGCAGCCTACCGATGAATTCTACCAAAGGGAGCCTTGTAGTGTGGCCCTGCTAGTTCAGGAGTGATGCAGGTCCCTTGACCATGCGCCTGTAGCAGTAGCAATTCAAAAGCTAGGATTTAGGGTTTAAGGGTTTAGGGTTATGTCACCGAATTGGCAAGAACCAGAGTATTGGATCTTGCAAAACCTACAGCAAAACAGCGTGTGCCCGACATTTCGTCCAACAATGCACGCGCTGAGCCCTAAACCCGATACCAGAAACACCGAACCCGATTTATCTATCTATATATACATATATATATATATGTATCCCTCTCTCTGGCTCTCTCTCTTTCTGTATGTCTGTATATGTTTATATACACACATATATATATATATATATATATATGTGTACATAAGCTTTTTTCTATCGAACATAAATGTATGCGCCACAGCAAAATGCCAAGGGCGCCTGCTGCGGATGAATCCAGCCCTCGGTAACCAAAATCCCTGCACTCTGAACATAAGGGGTTCAGGGGTTTAGGGCTTAGGGGTTTAAGGCTTAGGGTTTAGGGTTTAGGGATTTAGGGGTTTAGGGCTTAGGGAAAGCCTATAAATCCCTTGTAGGAACCCTTAAAGGCCCGCTTGTAGATCCCTAAACCCTAAACTCTAAACTTCGAAACATATGAACCCTAAGCCCTAAACCCCTAAACCCCGAAACACGGAAACCCTAAACCCTAAATCCTAAACCCTCGGTGCCCCGGCACAAGGTATGAGATGGCATCTGCAGCCACTCCCGGCACTTTGGCAGCGTTGATGTAAGGCCTGGGAGCCGATCCTTGGGGCCCTGGGAGCCGATTTTTGGGGCCTTAAACGTTATTTTTTTGTTTTTGAAAGGCCTTCTTTCAACGGTTTAGGCCTTGAACGTTTGTTTTTTTGAAAAACCTTCTTTCAACGATTTAGGGTGTAGGGTTTAGTTTGTTTTAAAAGGCCCTCTTTCAGCGGTTTAGGGTTTAGGGACTTAAACCTTGGACTCTAAGGGCTGTTATATTAAGGTTTTTGGGCTCAAAGACCATACTACATAAGGCTTTTGCGCTATTTTGATCCCCAGGGTTATAGCGCTTGAGCATTGTTTGTCCTTGCAAACTTTTAACTTTAAGCTTTATGGGGCCGCAAAAGCTGCTTTTGCAATGAAGGGCTTTGTTTGTGGGATCTTCATAAGTTGATCCAATGCTAACGGGTTTCGGGTTGAGCTACCCTCCTTAGGTGTTCAGGACCTCGCACACACGACCATCGCTCTGTGCGCCGAGAGCCCCATCTCATGTGTCTGGCGGCAAGATAACTGCTAGTTAGATCCCTAAGGGTCCGTGTACCCATATCGCACATACTTTGGCTGTAGGGACTACTTTAGGGCCAAAGTATACACACTATGATGGCCCCTTAGGGGATGTGTCTGTGCTCAATGTGCTCGAGCGGAACGACGGACTCATCGCTCACGAGACAAAGACATGGTCTCACGATGACATAGTTTGAGGCTCTGCTAAGCCCCACAACCCAAAAAACCTGAAACCCAACGCCTAAACCTACATAGACATTGTGAGTCTTATGCTTATGACGAACGATCGAAACTCTCCCCGTATGACCCTGCACCTCCATCCCCAAGATCTGAAGTTCACTGTAGCCGCACCCAGACCAAATTCTGCAGTTCTCTCTGCCTCCCCTGAACCCTACGCCGTCAAAAACCCTGAACCCCACACCCTACGCAAACCCAAAACCCCAAACCCGAAACCTTAAACCCAAACCCCTGGTCCGGCTTCAGAGCATGAATCTTTGGGTTTTCGGGGGGTTGTGGCCTCAGCTTTTCTGCTGCTTAAGCTCCTAGGCCCTCCAACTACTCTCGGGGTTAAGGGTTTAGGGACCCTAAACCCTAAACCCCAAACCCTAAACCCTAAACCCCAAACCCTAAACCCCTATAAACCCTCAACCCCAAAAAGGGGCCACTGGGGCTCTATGAATCAAAGGGCCTTTGGATGCTGGTTCTTGGGCTCTGCTTTCGAGCAGAAAGTATGATGAGGGAGACCCCTTGAAGGGTACCCCTTCCGAGCCCTACTTCTGGCTTTCTTAAACGGGACCTTATTGAGAGGGTCTATATCCCCGAGGGTCCCCCTAATATCCCCTAATCCTAACTCTCATAGATGGGGGTTTAGGGATCTTGGGGTTCAGGGCTTATAGGGTTCAGGATTTAGGAGCTTAGGAGTTTATGGTTTAGGGATTAGGGCTTATAGGTTTAGGGTTTAGGGTTGACGAGTTTAGGGTACAGGGGTTTAGGGCTTATAGGGTTTAGGGGTTTAGGGCTTATAGGGTTTAGGGTTCACGAGTTAGGGTTTAGGGGTTTAGGGCTTATAGGGTTTCAGTATGGTACCTCTAGGGTTTAGGGTTTATGGGCATGAAGGTTCAGGGTTTAGGAGAAGGGTTTATGGGGGAAGGAGGGTTAGGGCCTAGCGGGGTTTAGTGTCTATAGGTTGAAGATTTCATGGTCAGCACCAAGCTTGATGACAGCTGAGCGCCAAGCACGCCCACAGCCTCAGAACTCCGTAGTAGGTTTGCGATTGATAGGCCTAGGGTTGGTTTGAGAATTGCAGGTTTAGGGTTAGAGCCTAAAGGTGTGGGAATGGACTGTGCAGCCAAAAGCCCGAGAGTGCTACATTCAAAGGGGAAAAGGAGGGACCCTTAATGGGGACCCTTACCCTACAATGGGCTATATAATGGGTATACAATGGCTATAGTATGGGTATATACCTAGGGGTCCTTATTAAGGGTCCTTCCTGTCACCCTTGGATACATGCAACCGACACTCTGAAGAAAGGCGCCCTATGATCATAGAAGGCTGCTGCAGGATCGGGATGGAGTCTGAAGCAGGAACGCCGAGGTCCCTAAGGACCATTAAGGGTCCAGGTGCCTAAGTAGTATGTACTTTGCCCCTTTTAAAGTACCCGCTTCCGAACCCTTTTAGGCCCAAGCTTATACGATATAAAAGAGTTTGACACCCTGAACGCACGACAGCCAGAAGAGCAGTCAGCCGACAGTCTTGACGTCCTGTTTACACTGCCAGCCATGTGCCCGAAATACCGGGCTATCGGCTTACGGGCGAGAAGCGAAACACCTTCTGAAGGATATAATTCCACGCCCGTAAATATACCGCTGTTTACATATGCACGCAAACTAGCTAGAGCTCGTGCATATACATAAACTTAGAATATATATATATATATATATATATACCTATATATATATATACCTATACCTATATATATATATATATATATATATACATACAAATCTACATACACACACACAGAGACACATACACACACACACACATACGCACGCATATACATACACATACACATACACATACACATACACATACACACACCCATACATATACATACACACGTACAACAGACATACATACATACATACATACATACATGCATGCATCCAGGCAGGCATGCAGGCAGGCAGGCAGGCAGGCAGACAGACATACACACATACATACATGCATACATACATACATACATACGTACCCTCAGTTCATGCATATGTACATGCGAACATACGTACATGCGTACAAACTTAAACATCATAACACAACACAACAAACATGACATAACATAACATAGCATAACATGGTCTGACATAGCATAATCCAACATACATGCTGCATGCATGCATATGTACACACACAGATGCAAATATTTATATGTATATCTATGTTGATAAATACAAATAAACCGATAAATCAAGAATTATATATATATATATGTATATTGTGTTGGGCATATATGTATGTATGTCATGTGTGCTTGCTGCCACCTATTTCGTTCGCTGGCTGGGCTGCTGTCACACCTCGCTGAGGGCACGACGCTCAGGTCCACTGCAAAAGCCTGTCACGCAGTGGAATGAGATGCAGCCAAGCCTTGTTTTTTAGTGATACCTCGCAAAACTGACTACTACCACAAAAACTACGACGACAATGACGACGACTACTAACAACAATAAGAATCATCGTGACAATGATAATATTAATACAAAATGACATTGGTGGTAGCATCAGTGACAATACTTATAATAATCACAACAATATTAATAGCAATACTGACAAGCATTAATATTCATAATGCCGGCAAAAATTAATTACACAAGCTGCGAGTTAAGAATAACAGTGAATAATGAAAGATACATATTGGAGCTTCAGAAAACAAGGAACTGAAAGAATTGACCCCGCAGAAAGAGTTGGAGCTTATTCCTGAAACACTTAACACGAAAAGCCAAGCCCGAAACCAAAAACCTGAGTATCCCAAACCGTGTCTGGAGCCTATAGTACTTCAGGATTCAGCCCTAGAGCCTTTGGATTTGCAAGTTTAGCATCTGGGGTGTATAGCCTGGGGTTTGCTGGGTCAGGGTTTAGGCATTTGATTTTTTGGAGGGCTTAGGGCTAGGGTTTCCATGCGTAGCGAATTTAATTCGGCACCTGCAATCTGAGCAAGTACAGAGATCTCTTCCGTGAGTGATACGATGTTGCATGGCAGATCCTGTGTAGTGCTCAGGGTAATGCTAAGATCATGTCTAGATGCAGACGTCCAGCTGTGCAAAGCAAGAGCACTGAACCCCAAAGCACCTAATTCAGTACCCTTATTCTAGTAGTTCAGTCACTGAAACAACTCCAAGAAGAACCTATCAACCCTTTGACAAAACCCCGAAATCTTTGTAAACCCTATACATCACCCTTAACAACTTACTAAGGCCCTGTACAACTTCAATGTTGCAAACATGTCTGACTCCCTCGTACAACTATGATGGAAACGAAGCCGTCAACACCTTTGTGGAACAACGGGACAGCGCCAAATTGGGCTAATCCCTCGTACACCAGTCCCGATACGACAATACTAAGTCTGCAATGTGCCCACATTCGTCCCATGAGGTGAGTTCTTGGAACTAGGGTTTACGTAACTACCTCCTCGCAGCAACGAAACGAACACAAAAACACACAGAACACCACCGCTTCCAACAAAAAACAAAGTGTCAATAGCCCGCTTATAACCCTCTGACACTGTAAAACCCTGTCAAAGAAAACCAAAGATGTTGCAAAAGTCGCAAAGCCGCCCAAACCCCAAAACGCGAGTTAAACCTCGCCTACATAGGCCCTACACGTTGCCCCACCCCACCAACCCCCGCCTCCCAAACAAACAGATAAGTCTCCCTCCGTAAGAAGCCCTCAACCCTAAACTCCTAAAGCCCGAAGCCCCTCTAAACCTCTAAACCCGAAACCCTGAACCCCTAAACCCTTTAAACCCCTGAACCCGAAACCCGAAACCCCCGAAACCCCTAAACCCTAAACCCCTAAATCCCTAAAACCCTAAATCCCTAAACCCTCAAACTCATAAACCCCTACATCCCTAAACTCCTAAACCCCTTAATCTCTAAATCCCTAAACCCCAAAGGACTCTCCCAGGGTCCCCCGGCTCCGAGGCTGCGGTTCCCCGTGGGCCGGTCGAGACCCCGAGCCATCTCCTGGTTCTAGGGCCCCAAAAAAGCACATAAGCAAAAATTAGGATAGGGATATCCCATATAAACCCCCTTATAAAGAAGCCAAAAAAGTTGGGATATCCCTATCAAATGCTTATGCTTATGTGCTTTTTGGGTCCCTAAGGTTTGCTTTTTTGGTGCCTTCTTGGGCGGTTTAGGGGTTTAGGGTTCTAGGGATTTCGGGGTTTGGGAGTTTAGGGGTTTAGGAGTTTAGGTGATTTAGGGGTTTAGGGATTTAGGGGTTTAGGAGTTTAGGGGTTTAGGGATTGGTGCCTTCTTGGGCTTCATAGGGGGTTCCTTTAAAGGGATCCATAAGGGTTCCCTTAAAGGGATCCATAAGAGCTCCTCTACAGGGATCCACTAAGGTTCCTTTAAATGGATCCAGAAGGGTTCCGTTAAAGGGACCCATACGGGCTCCTTTAAAGGGATCCACAAGGGTTCCTTTAAAGGGAGCCATAAGGGCTCCTTTAAAGGGTCCTATAAGGGTTGCTATAAGGGCTACTATGAGGACTTAGTATAGTTGGTGCCTTCTGGGCTTATGGCCGTTTAGGGTTTAGGGTCCCGGGATTTAGGGGTTTAGGGATTTAGGGTCAAGGGCCGTTTAAGGTTTTGCGGGTTTAGGGTGGCAGGGGTTTAGGGGTTTAGGGTTAGGGTTTTTTTGGCTGCCTTAATAGGGGGGCCTTAGTAGTTAGCATAGGGTTTGGGGGCCTGTTATACTATCATTCTAATAACGACCCCCCAAATTAGGAGAGGGCTAAGGGCCATATTTTTGGGGTTTAAGGCTTCGAGTCCCCGAGCCCTCCCCTGGCTGCTGTCTGAGGTCTCGAGGTCCGAGGGGGTTTTGGGGCTCCTTTGAAAGGGTTCCCTTCAAGTATGGATACAGGAAATCTACAAGGTTTAGGTTTGGGGAATAAGATTATGTACAGTTCTTGGAGATTCATGGGACTTAGTAAATGTACTGTATAGTTATAAGCACCATAATTGGGATTATAAGTACATTTTCGTGTAGTTTCCCGGATTATAACCCTAGTTACTAAGTCCCAATGAGCCTCTAAGTAAAACGAGTCCCGCAAGAATGCAAATTGAAAGGCTCCACATCTCCCTAATAATCAAAGCAAGACTCCACTTGTCCAACAGTTCTTCTCGCGACAGCTTTGGAGGTGTCTAGATCTTCAGCCGATGGGCCAGAGGAACGGAGGTTTCGAGCTTGTGGTAGGCAACCCTAAGCCCTAAACCCTAAACCCTAAGAAGCACAGCAAAGGCCGAAGGGGGCCGCTTGATGCTCAAAGACTTCTTGGAGACATACCTCGTCAGGCTTCTGCTGAAAGCAAGACCGTTTCAGGCCTGCGCAAAGCAGACTGCGACCTAGAACAGACTTGTGAAACTTCTTGAACAAGACTTCTTAATACTTGGAATATGGTGTTAGAGGGGTTCCTTAAATGTAACTATAGTATAATATACCCCAAAGCCTACTCTGATTATCAATTCACCTACATTATAGAACTCTTAAAAGGAAAACGATGTTGATTATTAAGGCCCCTACATTACCTGAGCGAGCGTCACGTCTTCAGTCTGCCGAGTCCGCGATGTGACGGAAGCCAAGGCCAGAAAAAGCATGTGGTTTAGGAGTTTAGGATGGTTTAGGGGTAAGGGGTTTGGGGTATAGGGTTCAGGGATTAGGGTTTCGGGACCATTTTTGCTCTCAGCGGCTGAGCTGAGCTGCAAAAATCAACGAGGACTCACGAAGCCCGCAACTCTTAACAAACTGAACGGCCCTGTAGAAACGAGGTATAGGTATGTTATTTCCTTATCAAACTTTAAAAGCAATGAAAGGTATGGTTTCTATTACACGCACACGTGTAGGTGCACATGTAGTAGGTGCGTAGGGTGCGGGTGGTAGGTGCAAGGGTGCGGTTGTTTGGTGCGTAGGGTGTGGGTGGTGGGTGCGGTGGTGCGCGTGGTAGGTGCAGATCCCCTGCACCCTGCACCCGACCCTGCACCCTGCACCTCTGCACCCTGCACCCGCGCACTGCACCCTGGACCCGACCGTTGCACCCTACACTCGACCCCTGCACCCTGCACCCGACCCCTGCACCCTGCACCAATTTAGCGTTACATCTCGGCCATTTAGCGTTACATATGTAACGCTAAATGGCCGAGATGTAACGCTAAATTGGTGCAGGTGCAGGGTGCAGGGGTCGGGTGCAGGGTGCACCTACCACCCGCACCGCCGCACCCGCCACCCGCACCTACCACCCGCACCACCGCACCCGCCACTTGCACCTACCACCCGCACCACCGCACCCGCCACCTGCACCTACCACCCGCACCACCGCACCCGCCACCCGCACCTACCACCCGCACCACCGCACCCGCCACCCGCACCTACCACCCGCACCACCGCACCCGCCACCTGCACCTTCAGCACCGCCCCAGGTATTCTATGCAATATCCTGCTGATAGACCATTGCTATTAAAGTTTGATAATTATTTCCTACCCTAATAGGTATGTAATTTCCACCCCTAATAAGCCATAGAAATAAAAGGTTAAAGCTGTCCGATTCGTGCTAATCTCTAAGAACCCAAAACGCTTAAAGGTTCGGTATTGGGTATCTAAGTATTCCCTAAAACCGCTACTTGTACGGTTGCACTTTAGCGACATTTGTCCGCAGTGCTTGCTCTTGATCTTGTGGGGGGCCCTACGTAAGCGCCAAGCCTAAACACATAAACCCTACGCTCTGAAATCTAAACCCTCCACACACCCGGAAAACCTCAAATCCTACACTAACCCACATCACTAAAACCCTGAGCTGCGAATGTTTAGGGCTTGGGGTTACCCTAAACCCCCTAAGACTCCATGTGCCCAAATAGTATATAGTTAAGCCGTAAAGTACCTATATAGGGACCGCTTTAAGGCTAAAGTGTCTACTATAACGGTACCATGGACCCTTATACCCTAAACCCTATAGAACCCTTATAGAACCCCTTTAAAGGAACCCTTAAAGGAGCCCTAGTAATCTACTACAAAGGTACATGGAGCCTTTGGAACCCTAAACCCTAAACCCTGAACCCTGAACCCTAAACCCTAGACCCTAAACCCTAAACCCTAAACCCTGAACCCTAAACCCTAGACCCTAAACCCTAAACCCTAAACCCTGAACCCTAAACCCTAGACCCTAAACCCTAAACCTTAGACCCACATGCTGTCGTAGCTAGGATCCTCCGCGGTCCAGTCCGACTTCGCCGTGGGCCAGCGACTCCTGCAACTAGGGTGTATCGACATACTGCGGCATACTCCTTTAAAGGGGTCTATAAGGGTTCCCTTAAAGGGCTCCTATAAGGGATCTATAGGGTTTGGGGTTTTAGGGTTTTAGGGTTTACCTGTGGATCCAAAAACCTACCGTTTTAAGGGCTCTACCCTCTCAGTAAGGGGTCATAACCTGCTGTTTTGTAGGGTTTGGGATCACAGGTATGGTTCAGGGGTCTTTAAAGATCGCTACATTTGCCATGGGTTCTGCGTTTCAGAACCCTAATATTAGAAGTCTGATTTCGGCGTCATGGTGACTGGAACAATGGTTTGAGGTAATGAGATAAGGAAGACTGAGGAAAGAACATTGGCAATCATTCAGGCTTCTATGTTGGGGGGGCTTCATGTGCACTTCAATATGGCTTAACTTAAGGCTTATAAGGCTTAAGGTTTCACATGTTTTGCGCAACCTTTGGGTGAAATTCTGTGAAAACTTCCATGAGATGTATGGGGTGAGTAGAGGGCTTCATACAGTATGCGGGCCTTTCGAAAGGCTTTAGGAATTCTGGGTGTGTTGCGTGGAGAGCTTCGGCGAGGGCTTTGAGAAACCGCAACCCCTCAACCTCTGAACCTCTAAACCCTAAACCTTACACCGTGTTTAAGATGCTGAGGGCCGCATCTCACCAAAACTATGATGAAACCCTGTAAAAACCGTTCTACCTCTCAGAAGATGCTATAATTAAAGACCCAAACCTGTTTAGCAAGCCTTACAACACTTTGCGAAAGCCCTAAATCCTAAAAGGGCACAAGTCGGCGTCGGGCTTCGGCCCATACCTTGAACCCTACTTGGAGGGTCGGGGGACTTAGTAAGTAGGTAGTTAGTAGCCTTATAAGTACCCTAAAAGGGACCCTAATTGGGGTTATGGTACTTATAAGTCTCGAAAATAACCAGTTACTAAGTCCCCCGACCCTCCAAGTAACCTCGGAACAGCACACAAGAACAAGCTGGCGTCTCGTACCCATCTTTCCTCAGGAACACCGTAACTTCTGGTTAGACAACAATACAGTCTCCGAACACAGCAACTAGAAGATATATCGCTCGCCGTACCCGATCTGAGACACCCCTCCTGAAGTACTGGTGCAGCGCCGTGGTGAGCTGTTTCCGCAGCTGTGCAATCTTGGCCGGCTCCTGGCATGAGAATTGAGACGGTCCGTCAGAGAGAGAGACCCAGAGACTCCAATACCCCTTAATTAAATTAAGGAATATACCTTAAATCATATTAGGGACCCTACTATAATTTAAGGTATATTCCTTAACTAAGGCGTGTATTGGAGTCTCTGGGTCCGTCAGACAGATCAAAAGAGAGAGAGTCGGTGTGTGAGAGTGAGAGAGTGCGTGCGATCATTACATCGCTATAAAGGGAACTCCAGAAAGTTGGAATATGGTTTGATGGTAGGATCCCCTATAATTTACCATAGAAGGGGTTACGATAATGATATTCCAACTTTCTGGCTTCTACTGTAGATTACCATTGTATGAAGCCTCGAATTTCCGCCCCATTTGGGAAGCTCACGGCGTCTGAGCTCTGGACATCTTCCGATGGCGTTGTGGCCTGGCGCAACATGGTTTGGGGTTTAGGGTTCTGAATCTGAACTCATTAAGTCTAATTCGTGTTTAAGGATTGTGGTGTGCGGGACTTGTGTTGTTTGAGGGTTCAAGGTCCAGCTTCACGTACCTGGGCTGAGCAGCATCTGCCATCAGGGCCCTCTAAACTTACACTAGTTACTGCACAACAACTCTGAAGAGTCTGTTGCGCAACGACCCCCAAACACAAACTTAAACTGCAGGAATTTCATTTAAGGCAGAAACCCTAAAACCCTAAACCTTGCCTTCAGTTTAAACAGCTTGGAACTTCTTACTACCCCAGTTAGCCTCAGAAATCAAAGAGTAAACTTTCCGATTCCTAGTTACCGAACTATAAGGACCCGAAAAGGTTGAAGGTTACGTATTTGGGATCTAAGTATTCGCTAAAACCCCTAAACCCTGCTAAACCCTTAACCCCTAAACCCTAACTTTCAATTTAAGGTAGCTTGGAAATTCCTCCTGGACCCTAAGGAACCTACCTCTTTAGGGTTGCCTACTATGATTTCTTTATAGAAGTCCTTAAAATGGTAGGTTCCGTGGGGTTAAGGTTTACCTATATCTGATGAATTCCCTAAGGCTCAGAATAGCCCAAAAGCCTTAAATAGTAAGGTCTTTGGGCCCAAAAGCCTTAAAATTTGAGTCCTTAGAGCCTAAGGGATTATAACCCCAGTTCAGGTAGTCAGAACCTCAGGCCTCCAAGTTTAGGGCTCCTTTTAAGGATGCTAGAAATTGTCGTCTAGACTAGGTTCCTTTTGACTTCTTGGAAAGTCTTGGGCCCAGGGCAAGGGCTGCAACACCCGCAGAGGCTCGCGGAAAAGAGCGGCGAATCCCCAGAAGCTCGACCTGAAAGCCCTCAACATAGGCCCCATAATAGTTCTAGTATTCCTTAGGGTTCCCTTTAAAGGCTTCCTTAAAGGGCCCTATAAGGGATCTATAGTAGGGTTCTAGTTAGGGGGTTCATGATTTACCCATGGGCCCCAAAGTAGTTCCTTTTTGGGGATTTCCTTATAAGATTCTATATACGAACCCCAAAAAGGAACTACTTTGGGGCCTTAGGGTACACCCAAAGCCATGCAAGCCCTAAGACCCCCTAAGCCCTAAAGCCTTAAGCCGCAAAGCCCTACAAGCCCTAAAACCCTGAGCCCTAAAACCCTAAACCTTAAATCCCTGAACCTTAAACCCTAAACCTTAAATCCCTGAACCTTAAACCCTAAACCTTAAATCCCTGAACCTTAAACCCTAAACCTCTAAGCCCTAACAACACCGAACACCCCCAAAAAAACACAACTCGAGACCCGAAGATCCTCCAGGGCTCACAGGGTGCTTGCAGTTTCGGGTTTGGGGACTCTTGGGACTATAGGTGCCTTCATAGTTAGAACAGGGTTTAGGGGTTTATGGGTTTAGGGGTTTAGGGGCTTAGGGTTTAGGGGTTAGGGTTTATATAGGGCTCAGGGGTTAGGATTTAGGGCTTAATACTTAGATTGGGGTTTCTTTCAGAGGGATCCTTTCTGAAGGGGTCTACAAGGGATCTATAATAGGGTTCTATGAGGGTTTAGTATACAGGCCTTAATAGTTTCAATAGGGTTTCGAGGTATATTATGCGGTCATTAAAATCAGGAACCACCAGAATAGTATTGGAAATTATTTATGCACCCCCATATTACGAGGTTTAGGGTTAGGGGTTTAGAGCTTTACGGCGTTCGGGTTTTCAAGGCTTTTTGCCAACACGATACTTCGAGCATCTAAACCCTAAACCCTAAACTTCACGACAACAGTCGAACCGAAAGCTCTCGCACGGCCGGAGCCTCTGCAAAGTCCTCGAGCTCCTGACAAACAAGTGGGGAGGGTCGTTTCCCTAAGGCTCCATGTACCCATATAGTATATACTTAGGCCCTAAAGTACCTATATAGGGACCCCGTTAAGGCCTAAGTATCTACTATAAAGGTACATGGAGCCTTTGGGTTTCGCTTTGGGGTGCCTTCTGGGCTTGACAGATTGTTATGCTAATGCCTTCTGAGTACACATAAAGGGCCGTGGGCTTAAGAGCAGTAGCGAACCTGACAAAAACGAGGCTTCATCAAAATGCACTTGTCGTACCATCTGTAACATCCTTTAACTAACAAATACGAACCCCCTATGACACCCTGATACAACTACAACCCTGTACCAAAGCCCTACAAGTTTCCCGAGGCATGTCCGGGGTGTAAAAACTGTGGAAAACCGAGAACCGCAAAAGGTTAATAAGTCTCGAATCGGCTGTTCTCCCCGGCAGCTGTTGGAAAGGGACCCCCTAGACTTTAAGTTCAAGGCTTTAACTCTAGGACTCCAGGCAACTCGTGTTGGGGGTTTAGGGTTAGGGTTTGGGGTTCCGGGTGTTGGCAGGGGTTTCGGGTTTATGGTTTACGGCCCCCAAACTATATACACGGCACTGAACGGCGAACACTGAATCCTGGACCCCAGACATGCTTCACTGTGTCGCAGCAACAACATCGAACAAGGCGACACGATACGATGCAATGTAATCCGAGCAAAGGCGCAACATCAACGAAAAGCGAGTACTAGCGACAGACAGAGCCCGGTGCATCCACATTCGCAAAGCAGGTAGAACACGTCGTAGCGGTCGTGGCAATCGTCGTCGCAGTAGCAGTAGCTGTCGCAATGGCAGTGGCAGTGACCGTGGCAAGGGTAATTACCTATCGTCGCCGGAGTGGTCGTAGTAGCAGGAGGTTGCGTAGGGAAGTCAAGCATCAAAACTCAACCTCAAACCCCAGACAAGGGGATGACATCGAACCAAACCCCAAACCCTAAACCCTTAACCCTGAGCACTAAACCCTAAACCCTGGACCTAGCCCGTCCATAAGTACATAGCAGGTTGGCCGAGTCTGGAACTTGAGGTCACCCTAAACCCAGAGACTCCCATATCCTTCAATCAAGGAATATATTCCTCAAACCAGATTAGGCATCCTACTAGAAATTAAGGTTTACCTTAACCCTGAATAACCTACCTTTTTAGGATTCCTTATTTTGACTCCCTTATATAAGTCCTTTAAAAAGGTAGGTCCTACCATAAATTAAGGTATATTCCTTAATACAATGGATATTGGAGCTCCTGGGAGCGCTAATTCCTAAACCCTATCCCCTTACATAGATCCCTTAAAAAGAACCCTAGAGCTCCCTTAAAGGAAACCCTAGAGATCCCTTAAACGGAACCCGCTACAGATCCCTTAAAGGAACCCGATAGATTCCTTTTTGGGACCCTAGAGCTCCCCTAAAAGGAACCCGCTATGGATCCCTTGAAGGGAACCCTATAGCTCCCCAAACCCTGTAGAACTCTCTGTGTGCCTCGAAGCTGAGAAGCTCTTGAGGCGATTGCAGGATGCGTCGGTTGAGGTCCGAGATCAGCCTGCAAAGGGCGGTTTAGGGTTTGGGGTTTAGGGTTTAGGGGTTTAGGGTGAAGGGGTTTAGGGGTCTTGGGGTTCGGGTTTAGGGTTTTAGGGTTTTGGGCTTAGGGTTGAGGGATTGGGGTTTAGGGTCTACTGATTCTGACGATTTAGGGCCTCCGGTTTTCTTGGCTTTTCCGCCTTTCGAGCGAGATGCGTGATTATGAGATCTAGTGGGAAACCCACAGGCTCATTACTATAGGGGCCTTAATGATAAGAATAAGGTTTTGGGGCCCCTTATACTATGATTAGTTTAAGAAATCCTCCAAAACCCTATTCTACTTATTGAGGCCCCTATATTAGGAGTACCCGTATAGTAGCCCTTATCTCCCAAAATGCTACATATTCTAGATGAGGCCCCTATATTGGACTGCAAGAAGAGCGAAGCTTAGTTTCGCATGGGTGACCCACGAAGCGCCAGGATCGGGCTCCTTTAAAGGGTTCCCTTTAAAGGGTCCTATAAGGGTTACTATACGGGCTATTACAAGGATTTCGTATAGATGCCTTAGAAGTTAGAATAAGGCTTTGGGGCCCATTATACTATTATTATTATAAGGAACCTCTAAAATAGTGTAGATGATTTTGAAGGCCCTTATCAGGACGGGAAAGCAGCGTCATGAAGCATTGGCACGTTCACAGGAGGCGCGTTTATCATGCTGCCCAGGTTTACGCATATGGCTGCTCATTTAGACTACTCTGCAGACCAATGCTGAAAATGCCAACAGTAGCGGTACTACTGCACTACTGCTTCTACTTCCGCTTCGGATGCCAAACCACGTACGGTGGAAGCGAGGATAAAGTACGGAGATTGTCCGGGGAAGGACCTGGTGCACCAGGAGATAGACACGCTTTAGGGATCAGGGTAGCTACAATCGAAGAAAAGGACTTAGTTTTAGTCTACGCGCTGGATTTACATATGAGTTTGGGTTTTCAGGTCATGGAGACACTGAGTCCTCGGCTCGATTGCCTAAAACCTTATTCCTGAAACCCCAAGCCCTAAACCCTAAACCGTAAGCCCTAAACCCTGAACCCCAATCCCTATCTCGTCCCTTCCCAGCCTGCGCAGCAGCGGCAGCACGGCCCGCTTTGTCGGAGGCCTGGGGCGCTTCGCGGCTCTGGGTCTAGAGCCCGTACTAGGAGGGCCTTAATGATTAGAATAGGGTTCCTTTAAAGGGTTCCCTTTAAAGGGCCCTTTACTTTTCCTAGTATAGACGCCTTAATGGTCAAAATAAGGCTTTTGGGGCCCACCCAAAATAGTTTAGGCAATTATTAAAGCCCCTGGATTAGTGCCTTGGGGCTCGGACTCAGGGTTTAGTGCTTTTCGGGTTCAGGGATTTAGGGTGGTTAGGGCTTAGGGTGTTTCTGGTTTGGAACTAGCGATTTGATTCCTCAGTTTTGATGTTATGGGACAGGGGCTTAGTGACACTTAGGTCCAGATTCTGGCATTGTCAAAATGAGACTATATAGAATGTACAGGTAAGCTGGTGTACTACAAGACCTATCGGGAACTAGCCAGCTCTTTCGTCTTTCGATCTAACGAGATGGCAATGTCAGTCTGTCTTTCTGTCTGTCTGTCGATCTGTCTGTCTGTGATCCCAAGGGTCAAAACTCCTAGCGCCCGGCAATGCAGCCCTTTGCACCCACCCACTGTCATAACCCAAAACCCATAGCTACATAATTTAGAGGATAACCTCTAAAACAGCGTAACCTACATGTCAACACCCAGACCTGAATCACTAAATCACAAAAGCCCCAAATCCAAAAACCGTGAAAACCTAAAACCCTAAACCTCTCAACCCCAGCACCTGACATCCTTCAACCCTTAATCCCGAGGCTTTCAAACCTAAAGCCACCAAACTTCAGCATCAGGCTCGCTGGGCTCGGACGCGTTGGCGGAACCTGAAAAAACTTCTGTCTCTTGGCAGCTTGGTAACTGGAGCTCCGCAGACACCCTGCCTAGGGTTCTCCTTAACCCTGAATAGCCTACCTGTTTAGGGCTCCTTATTATGATTTCCTTGTTTAAGTCCTGAAAAAGGTAGGTCCTTCAGGGTTAAGGTTGTGCTGAAGCTTACCGACCTCTTCGCTGAAATCATATGATGATTCTACGAGTCTTGCAGATAGCTGTTCTTGCTGCCGGTACCGTTGCTGTTATTTGCTATGCTGGGGTGGCTTTGATAGCCATACACGGCTTCTTTTGATAGCTCCCACAAAGACTCTAAATACGTACATACCCTTCAAAACTGAAATCCGGTGCGGTATGTCTCGGAGCTACACCACGTGCTTGCAGTTAGCAAACATTAAGCAGCAACACAACAAATCCACGAGACAGATAAACACGGCCACTGCCCATGTCCTGGTTTAATTTTGCTAAGGCTGTACAGACTTTCGTGAATCCGACCCAGGCCTAATGTAGGGGCCTTAATAATTAGAACAGCATTTTGGGGCCCATTACAGTATAATTAGAATAAGGAACCTCCAAAAGCAGTATTGGTAATTATTAATGCGCCTACACTGTTCAAAGCTGGAAAAGCAAAGTTAAAGGGCGGCGGGCTTTGGAGCTATAGCCAGATGGGTGGTTGTCAAAATCGTGGTCCCTTTTTGGGTACCCTAGATATTAGGTGCCGTATTCTAATAAGGACCCGAAAGGGACTCTAATATTCACAACCACCCAGATGTCTCATGAGCTGCTTGGGTGTTTGAGTGCATCTTAGTCAGGCTTCCTCTGAGTTTAAACGTGTTTGTTTCCGGTGGGTTTCAAGTTTCGAAGGTTTAAGGCTAGCCGTCCGAACCTAAAGAGTACCCCAAACTCTCAACCCTGGACAGTAGTGGAGCCACAACCCTCACAAAAAGGAGAAGGAACCCTAAAATAGACACCCAAAGGTCATGACCGAGCCTGGCGCGCCTTGTCAGGGGAAACATGCGCAACATGTCGTGTGAAGGGCCTTGGGGACTAACCGTGTATCACTGACGAACACATAGGAGTTTCCGAGGCCGTGCGTACTTCTCTGCTACTTTGACTTTTCAGGATAACACGCTTGTATGCGTATGTGCTTACATGTATGTGTGTGTGCCTGTTTTCTCTATGTATGAACGTATGTATGTAACGTATGCCGAGAGGAACGGATGGCAAACAGCACTTCTCGGAAACCCCTGGATCGGACCCTTCCCTCGGAGAATGACTAAACGAGATTACATTGCACTAAACGGTTAGTCCCCAGAGCCTGTGCCGTGGGCTGGGGCAGTGCCCGACCGCTTCCGGACAACTGAAGGGCATAAGACATCTTTCCGAATTTTCCGACAATAACATAAGTACTGTGCTCAGGGGCGTTTGTAGGCTTCACCAGCTTTAGCCAACTCGGAAACACCGCCCCAGCCCGGCAGCAAGAGGAATTGCAATAGATCTTTCGAGAGCTGAGAGCCCAGTAAAGTCTAGGGTACAAGCTTGACACTGAAATCTGGTCATCTACAGGCCAAGAAGCTTGCAATCCTCCTGCAATGGCATGCGACATGAAGTTGCTAGGTAGCCAATAAACCCCGAAAAGGACCAGCATGTAGAATCCCGGAACCCCCCGCAACAAACAGTGCTTCAAATCCAAAGCCCGTACATACCCCAATCTCCTGTAAACCGTGCTGAAAGCCGCCTACCCGAAAACAACCGATGCCGTGGCAACCTACCATACCGAGAAGCTTCAAGATGTAAGAAGGTAGGATGAACCCCAAGCCCCAATCACAACGAACGCTGAAGCTCACGTTCTACCCTAAGTCCTTAACTTAACTACCGATCACATAAGCTATGGAGAAACGGCCTTCGGACTTCGCGAATCTTGCCCTCTTGGCATTCGGCTCGCTTCCCGTTTCTGCGAATCCTTCGAACGACCCTCCTTCTAAGGGCACACAGGGCACAGAGACATCTCAGGAATGCATGTGGGATGCAAAGCACTGAAGGACATGAAGTGTCTGGCTGCATGCACAGGGAGTTTCGGAAAATAAGGGACCCGACTATGGCTGCTGAATAGTAGGACCCTTATGAGAAAGGACGCTACATCCTCATACCCAGGTGCACTCCCAATATGCTAAGAATCTGCCACAGGGTCGGGGAGCTCTCAACAAACAGCAAGCAATGGAGAAGACGTTTTAGGATGTGGCTGTGCGTGCGGATCCGTCCATGCTTTGACATTCACTAGAGGCCTTTGCGTGTGCACGTTCTGTCTTGAACTAAGACGAGGGGAAGTGATTATCCTCAGTATTGGCCGTCTTTAGTTTGCCCTCCAAAATTTCGGCTACTCGTCACAACTCTTGTTTTCAGCTTTAGACCTCGCTGTTCAGCTATAGAAGCACCCCCCCCCCCCCCCCCCCCCCCCCCCCCCCCCCCCCCCCCCCCCCCCCCCCCCCCCCCCCCCCCCCCCCCCCCCCCCACCCCCACCGACCCACCCATGGGCTCCAATTACCTAAACCCAAAGGGTCCAAGGAATATAGGGTTTAGGGTTTAGGGATTAGGGTTTAGGGTTTAGGGTTTAGAGGTTTAAGCTTATAGTATATACTTCTGGGGCCCAAATACCTACTACGTACCTACTATAATGGTACTCGGACCCTTGGGGAATACAGGGCTACTGGGCTACATGTTATGTAGCTCGCAACCTACTATTTAAGTCACTGGAGCCCTAGGTCAACTGGTTTCGAGTCAGTGGCCTTGCTGGATACAAACTCGGGGAGTTCTGCTGCATGCTCCAAGGCTCCATGTACCTTTATAGTAGATACTTAAGCCTTAACGGGGTCCCTATATAGGTACTTTAAGGCCTAAGTATATACGATATGGGTGCATGGAGCCTTGGGATCTAGCAATGTAAGAGGGGCTTTCCGAGGTAGAGCGAAACAAGCAGCGCAGCATAGCAGGAAGGCAACGGCATGAAACCCAAATGCCCACTGGGACATTGTAGAATACCGAGCACCGTGAACCCCCAAAACCCTTAAATGGCCAATTTTATTGCAAACCTCAGCGTTGCAGGACTGTGGCTGCAGCAGCCGGGCAAGGAATAACTACACTAGCTTGTACTCAAGGTGGCTGACGGTGTTAGGTTCCAAGGTAGCCGGGCCCGATCTAGGTACACGGAACCTGAAAAGTCAGAACAGTCTTGGTGCAAATTACCCATAGAGGCTCATACCCTACCCCTTTTTTAGGAAGCCTAGTTTTATGGTTAGGACCTGTTATCTTAAAAAGTAGGCGCCCTAAAAGAGGGGTAGGGTATGAGCCTCTAGGTATACCAGGATCGCAGATGAAGGTTCGCAAAATTCTCGAGGCTTGTATCCTGCATTTATTTTTTATGGGTTGCGAATGCTGGGCTTACGGAGCCTACCGAACATCAAGCCTGAATGCCAGTATCCTATGGAGTACCCGGGCACGTCGCAAGCCGGGTCGTGCAGCTAGAGGTAAGTCATACTATGCAATACTGTGAATGCCATGTGTATACTTGGATGTTCATGGGACTTAGTAAATAAATACCTTAACTGGGGTTATAACTAGTTATAAGTATAGTTACCTTAATTATAACCCTAGTTACTAAGTCCCATGCACCTCCAAGTAGCCGCCCTTGTAACTCAACCTGTGCCTGCCTACATAGATCCCGCATCCTGCACCAACCCTAAGGCTCCATGTACCTTTATGGTAGATACTTAAGCCTTAAAGGGGTCCCTATATAGGTACTTTTAAGCCTAAGTATATACTATATGGGCACATGGAGCCTTAGGGCAATAGCCAAGACCGAATCCTCCGAAGTACGGACGCAACAGGCGAGTGGTAGACCCCAAGGCTCTATGTACCCATACCTGGACCCTACGGAACCTACCTTTTTAGGGTTCCCTAATATGATTTCTTTATATAAGTCCTTAAAACGGTAGGTTACGTGGGGTTAAGGTATGGTATATACTTACCTATGCCTTAAAGTACCCCTATAGGGACCCCTGCAAGGCGTAAGCATCTACTAAAGGTACATGGAGCCTTTGGGAGAGGCCGAGTTGAGTCGTTTAGTGCTTACTTGGCAGCTATGCAAGAAAGCTTCGTGCGACTATCTTTCTATAGTAGATACTTTTGCCTTAAAGGGGTCCCTGTATGGCTACTGTAAGGCCTAAGTATATACTATATGTCATAGGAAGCCTTAGGGGTGTAGGGGGGAGGGGTGTAGGGGACTATATTTCCTTAAATAGGCCTTATTAGTCCTTATTGTGGGCCTTAAGGCCCCCTACCCCCCCTCCCCCTACACCCCTAAGGATCCCTATGAGACAAGCCTTGGCAGAACCGCTGCACAAACGCTCATTGACAATGTTATTCCAAGGGGTAAAAGGAAGGACCCTTTATAAGGACCCCTAGGTATATACCCTCAATATAGCTATTTTATACCCATTATATAGCCCATTATAGGGTAGGAGTCCCCATTACGGGTCCCTCCCTTTCCCCTCTGAGATATTATGCAATGGAAGACGCTGCCTGCACTCTAAAGCCCTAAGCCCTTCAACTTATGACCCTGGACCCCCCAGCTTCCCAGTGGGCGATCAGGATTGATACAGGGTTCTGAAATCCAAAATTCCCCTGCCTAGAGTATCCGAGGTACCGCAAAAACGGAAATGCATGTGTCTTTTAGGGATATACCTCTTTCACTTTCTTGGGTACATTGCTTACTCTAGGATCACCCTCAAACGTAAACCCCACCCCAAACCCAAAACCCTGCATCGCGGGCCACAGCTTCGGCCTGGGGTACAGTTGCCATTGACACGGCCATTCGCACCAGCAGGCTCCTTGAGCTTCTTCCAAGGGTCCCTATTAGGGCCCCATAAAAGCAAATAGGCAAAAATGGGGATAGGGATATCCCATATAAACCCCCGTATAATGAAGCCCAATGAGGTAGCGATATCCCTATAAATGCTTATGCTTATGTCCTCTTGGGGGTCCCCGTGACAATAACCCTAAGCGCCTGCACGCGGAAACGCTAAACAAACATAGGTCGCTAAAGCCGAAAATCTGTTCAGCATTGAATTCGCAATGCCTCGCCCGAGAAGACTGGATACCCTGGCCACAACTTACTGTCCATTGGGCCCCAGATATGACCCCCTATACTACATTGTGGAAAGGGCGTTAGCCCCCCACATAGACCCCTTAAAGGAGCCCTTGAAGGAACCCTTCATGGGTTTAAGGTCTCTAAACCCTAAACCCCTGAAGGAACCTTTAGGGCACACTAATCTTTCGACGCTGGGCCCCGGGCGGTGGCGGCTGCAGCCATGCTCTCATGCCGCAGACGGCACCCGGAGGCCCATGATGAGATGCCGGAAAATTCCCGAATTCAAGGGAAGGAAAAATTGGCGTGTTTAGGCTCTTAAGGACTAGGGCTTCAGTAGTTGAGGGTTCAAAGAGTTGGGGTTGAGTGGTTCTGGGCCTCAGCCTCTTTTCTTCAAGCCTTTGAGTTTCAGAAATCGGACAGCTTGGCGCATCAAGAAAGATGAAGCATCCATGCAGAAACTTCAAGGCAGCACCGGCTGCATGTCAAACCGGTATGACGCCTGCAGCATTGAATCTGAAACCCTAGCCTCAAGGTCTTGACTACTCTAAGTGGCTCTTGGGCTGTCACGTGCCACCTGCATCTAGACGAAAGTTCACGCACCATGTGCTGCCTGCTTGTGTCAGGATGTCCTGTGTCACAGCAGCTTCGAGCCACAACATTCGGATCACCACTTGCAAAGTCTGCACATCTGACTGGCGGTTGCTGTTCGAGGGTTTAACCACCTTGGGTTCACTTTTGCAGTCTGCACCCTGAACTGTAGAGGTTCGTGAACAACCTTCGGCGAGGACGTCCCTTACACTGTAGTAGTGATCTCAATAAAGCTTCGGGTACAAAGTTCTGTTCCTCGGTCGCCGTATTCGAGGATTGTCGAGATGTCTAGCTACACGGAAAAGTCATGTAAAGTTGTATAGTGTCAAATAATGAGTTGTATAGTATAAATTATACAGTACAATAAGTTTAGTATAAAGCTTACAGTGGGGTTTGGGGGGTGTGTGGCTTAAGGCTATGGTTTTCGTTTCAGGATTTCTAGTCTTAGTTCTCAATATATTCATGGGGATTCCACTGCTGCACCCCTACATGACACACTTGGATCCGACAGAAGTACCTATCCACAGAAGCCCCCTGTAAACCTGGACCCCTGCTCTATCATTGCTGATACCTAGTGGACATTTGTTAGGATACCTAGTTTTTGTGGACAGGATGTGTTGTATAGACCCCAAAACAGGGGTAGAGTATGAGCCCACAGGTAGGCACATGCAACGGAAAACAGGGCCTGAAATTAGGGTTTAGGGTTTAGGGTTCCTAAACCCTAAACCCTAAATAGCCCGCAGCCCTAAGGCATCTCTGCTGCCTTCCGCACACTGTAGTCGATCAGGAGGACCTGCCAGACTTAGTAAGTGCAGCTATAAGTACCTCAACTAAGGTTATAAGTAATTATCATAAGTATAGTTACTAGTTACCTTATTTATAACCGTAGTTACCAAGTCTCATGAACCTCCAAGAATGTACTTGAAGATAGAGCGGGTCTAGGGCGTAGAGACAGTCGAAGTTTCCTTTCTTGGATTTCAGTGATTAGCGTTACCGGGTTTATAAGCTTGGGTATTGGGCTTGCGGTATGCGGCTTGGGGCTTAGGGCTTCACTGTTTCGGGGTCTGGGAACTACAGGGTGCCCTGAGCAAGCCCCAGCAGAACCTAGCATGCTTGGCATCTATGGGATAACTCCGAGTACTGCCACTATTAACTTGCACAGACATACTGATCAGTATCGATCAGTAACCACACCTACTTGAGCACACAATAGTCGCTCGTTACCTCATAAAACAGGTCCGCCATTTTGCATAGTTAACTTGAAAGTGCGTTTTAGGTTAAAGTCCATACATTCCAATTTTCGACGCTGCCACAAACTACCAGACCAGACTCCTCGTTGTTGCAGGATCCGATACCCTCAGGGTCCATGTGCCCATATAAAGATACATGAGCCCCAAAGTACCTATATAGGGACTACATTAAGGCCAATGTATATACTATATGAGTACATGGACCCTCAGGGATAATTACTTGTCGCTAAACCCGAAGGTGCATCGTTGCAGACCCAAGTAGCATCGTTGAGGATTCGCGTCAGCTAAGGCTGGACTCCCTTCGACTAAAGCCTACCTGTATCCCCAAACCCTACAAGCACGTAGTTGTGACCCCTTAGCTAGAGGGTAGAACCCTTAAAACGGTAGGTTTTTGGATCCCAAGGTAAACCCTAAAACCCTAAACCCCAAAACCCTATAGATCCCTTATAGGAGCCCTTTAAGGGAACCCTTATAGACCCCTTTAAAGGAGTAAGTCCTGAATCTTTGCATCTCGGAGCTGACCTAAGGACACCCCCAGAGCCCAAGGTATGTCTAAGGTCCGACGGTTCTCTCGTCTTTTACTTTTTGGGTTTAGGGTTTAGGGTGTCCTCGCAAGCAAACGTAAAAGACGAGAGAACCGTCGAGCCATTGCCATAAGAACAGAGTCCGGACTACACATTTGTTCGGTTTATAATCAGGACCCTAAACCCTCAACCCTAAACCCAGTTGGCACCAGCAGTAGTATTGGGGACCACAGTTGGGTTTAGGGACTAGGCTAGGTAGTGCATAATGTGATAAAAGGGTGAAGTCTAAATCAACAGCTCTATTGTCGCCGTAAGCACCACGCACAAATTCGAAGGACCCGCCCCCAAATCCCTTTGTATCCCGTGAAGCAGAAGGCCACCGAACACCCTCACCCCTAAGCAGGGTCACTGAGCATTGCCTAAAGAACCTCGTTGTCCTAAACTCAAACGCCAACGCCTAATACAACAAACCTGACAGACTTTAGAAACCGAAAATGAGCCAGCGAAGCAGTGACAGGGATCATCTCCACATCTCCTCGGCCATGAACATTTGATCGTTCATATTATGTTGTAGAATGTGCAGTCAGGACAATATCTCAGAAAACAGGGTGTAGGGTGATATTGGTGTCAATACTATGACTCATGCTGTCCTTTGCAAGCAGTATGTGATCGCTATACTCGTGAATCAAACATACTCATACTCTCAATCGTAGTATCAGGTGCGCTTTTGTTCATGTTCTTCCCGTTACCGCTGCGTGCACTACTTGTAGTGTCGATGGCTGCCAGCAGGAATGGCAGTGGCAGTGGTGGTGGCGGTAGCAGTAGCAGCAGCAGCAGGACTGGTAGTAGTAGCAGTAGCAGTAGCAGTAGTCGTCGTCGTAGTCGTAGTCGTAGTCGTCGTATTTTTTATGCTGCTTTCAGCAGTGGCAGTGATAGTTGTCGTCCTCGTTGTCCTGGTCGTCGTCGCTTGTTGCAGGTCGTCGTCGGACAGGACGGGGCTTGCTCTACTCAATCGAGCCTTTAATGTTTAGGGTTTAGGGCTTATAGGGCTTAGGATTTAGGGTTTAGGATTTAAGGTTTAGGATTTAGGGTTTAGGTCGCGCAAGGAAGACCGACACCCCCCGGAGACATGAACGTTCGGGGGTAGCGCTTGCGACCTCATGAGGGCTTCCGTAAGCAGAAGCCTGCTACTCTGAACCTCTTCATGCCGCTTGCGCAATAAAGCTTCGGGACTGCAACTGCCACCTCCCGCAAAAATGCGAGTTGACCAAATATAGGGGCCATCATACTTGAAAGGCTTTTGTTAATGAAGCTGTACGAACACTTACCTGGACGAGAAACGGATACTAGTTACTAGCAGTTACTCAGACTTCCATACCAATCTGCTATGCGATGCTCAGCGCAAGGCCATCCGGGCGTTGCTTGTCGGGAGCCACATTGGCGTTCAGGTCAGACACCTGATGTTTGGAGTAGGCCCTAAACCCTACACACTTCAAGAAGCCGGTGAAGGGAACCCTATCATAGAACCCTGCAGCCCTAGAAACCCTGAACGGGAACCCTATCATAGAACCCGGCAGCCCTAGAAACCCTGAAAGGGAACCCTATCATAGAACCCGGCAGCCCTAGAAACCCTGTAAGGGAACCCTATCATAGAACCTTACCGCCCTAGAAACCCTTAAAGGGAACCCTATAGCCCTAGTTGCTAAGTCCCGTTTCTTGCTCCCCCAATAAACCACAGAAATACAAGGTTAAACTTTCCGATTCCTATTAAACTATAAGAACCCAAAAAAAATTCAAGGTTGGGTATTGGTGATCTAAGTATTCCCTAAAACCCCTACACCCTAAATCCCTAAACCCTAACTGTAAGAACCCAAAAGAGTTTGAAGGTTGCGTATTGGGGATCTAAGGTTTACCTAAACCCTAAACCCCAAACCCTAAACCCCAAACCCCAAACCCTAAAGGGAACCCTATCATAGAACCCTATAGCCCTGATGTTAAAGCAGGCGCAGGCTGACAGACCCCCTTCAAGGCCTGGACTTCTGAAGATCCTAGAATGCTAGATCCCTACATCTATGGGAGTTTCCGAAAACAGGGGACCCTGATATAGTACCCTAAATAGTAGGATCCTTATTATCAGGACCCCAAAATAAGGTACCCCTAAAATTGGAAACTCCCATAGTGTTTTTAAGGGCTCCTTTGCGTTTTAGGGTTTAGGGTTTTGGGGTTTCGGGTTCAGGGGTTTAGGATTTAGGGTTCGGGGTTTAGGGATTCAGGGTTTAGGAGACTTCGGAATGTCCTGACTCCCTAAAGCCCTGAAGCTCTTAGCCCTCAAATCACACCCTGAAAACTATATAAAAAACTGAACCAGGGTTTCCCCTCAAAGTTGCAGGGTTGCTCCGTCACATGCTAGAAGTACTTCGAAAGGATGGTTAAAGTCAAGTAGCATGCCATGTAGGCCTGAGATACCAGACCCCAAACCCTGAACCCCTTGAGGACGCTACTCTAGCTTCGCTAGCCTCTGCAGGTACTAGACTCTAAACCCTAAACGTTTTGAGGACTCTTGCCTCCCTGCCAATATTTCGTTGCACAAGGCCCTCTACAACAGATGCGACTTGAAGAATGGGAAGCCCTTGCTGAGCCGTGGTCTCCATGCATTTTGGGTCTCAGGGTTTAGAGCTTACCTGGACGATACAAAACCTTCCTTTTTGTGGGGTTCCCCATTACGATTTCCTTATATAAATCCTTAAAAAGGTAGGTTATTTGGGGTCTAGGTAGGGTTTGAGTGTAGACCCCTGCCAATTAACCAGCATGCATATCTGTTGTATTTTACGGTTCGGGCCTAAGTGTTGTAGGGTTTCTG